TAAAGACTCTGTCATGCCAAATCAAGATAAAAGGGAGCTCATGGATCTTATTCACAGGGCACAGTCAGTTCTAATCACTGTAGCCCTCAATGACTAACAAATGTTACTGCACCTCTCCTCCCTGATCTAACCTAAACTTTTACTGATCACTATACAAGTTGTAAAAAAATAAAGAGCTAGTTTGCTGAAGAGGTTTGCGATTTGTGCCTAGGAAAAATATGCCTCTTTTTCTGATGGGACAAATAAATTTACTAACAAAGAAACTATGAATAATAGAGTTAAAAAAAGAGCTGATGAAAGATTACAATAATGCCCAGTGATGTGACAGGCCTTACAATCCTGTTCAGAGGTGAGATAGCTATCTTTGGTCATGTTTTAATTTGTATTGCTGCATGGAACAGGATTGGGTTTAATGGCCTATATGGCTCCTTACAGGTCCATGATTTTATGAAAGTGACTGCTACTAATGTAAGACTACTCTGATTGTATCTTTCTCATTTTCTTCAACAGCTGTTGTCTAGAGCAGTGATGGTGAACCTTTTAGAAACTGAGTGCCCAAAAACCGCCCCACCCTGCCGCCCGGTCTGCCCCTGTCCGCCCGCAGGGCCACTCACTGCCTCCATGGCCTGCTGCAGCACATCGTCCAGGCGGCCCTGCAGCGCCATGGTGGCCATGCCCTCCACCCACGCCCACGCAGCATCATCTGTGTGCAACGGGGCGTGAGGGTGAAATCTTGTCCCTTCTGCCTGGCTGCCATGTGCTTGGCTGCACTGCTCCATTTAGGCCATGCCCAGGGGCAGCTCTACTCCAGGGGAGCTGCTGGTGAGGAAGGGGCCGTGGGGGGAGGCAGGACTGGGGCGAAGGCACGCATGCCCACAGAGAGGGCTCCGAGTGCCTCCTCTGTCATGCGTGCCATAGGTTCGCCACCACTAGTCTAGAGGGACACTACTTCTGATACTCAAAATAATGGTTTTTGCACCAGAGTACAGAAGAAACTACGGACTAGCCAACATTTAGCCTACTGTGTTGTGCAAATCCAGCTTCTAAAATTAACATTTAGCATACTATGAAAAATTGAGAAAAGCATTATTAATTTATAATCATAACCAAGGTACTGGCTGTGGTGGATTCAATGGCTGGAAAGAAGGAGGCCCTGATAGATGGATTAAGAGATATTCCAACTTGGATACCATTGGTGGGAGGAAGCGTATGAGATCAAAAACACAGGTCTAGATCAGGCTTTCCCAGGGGAAAACAGGCAAAGTCTGGAGAGATTTTTGTAAACTGGTGAATCAACAATAAACTCTTGACCTAAGCCTAGGAGCTGTTCTGGCTGCTTGTGCCCGATGCTGGCTGCCCTATGAAGTGGTGAATTTTTCTTCACTGGGGGGCTTTAAACAAAGACTGGATGGTGCTGTTTTAGTGGATCCTGTATTGAGCAGGGCACTAGATCAGATGGCCTTTTAGATTTCCTTTTAAATCTCGATTCTTTGTCATATTAACAATTATCATGATTAGTAGCTTACGTTTGATTAATCTCTTTTCAAATCCACCCAACTTAGTCATCATTACACTTTTGGGCAGTTAACTCAAGGTTTCCTCTCTCTGATCAGTTCCAGAGCCAATTGTTCAAGGACACAATTCTCAATATCTAGTTTTACTGGTTTTTCATGACTGGAACATGTTTTTCTTTTTCCATTTGACTGAAAGTCCTCAGTTTTACCACATTTTGGTTTTACTATCATATGGAAACCATGGATGCATCTTTTTTTTTTAAAGTATAGGATATTGTTTCAATCAACAGCAGCTACTGTATTTGGCAGATTTTAAGAGGATTAAATTCATAATTTAGGGATACATGAGTATGAGATTTAGCCAATATGGTTAAAAGTGTCCCACTGGATTTATTAAAATTTGCTTCTAAATATACTCTTGAAATTATTGTAAAGGATTTGCATTATTTATCTTAGACACATTTTTTTTCTAATTTAGTTTTTTAGAATTGTGGAGTAACCCCCAATTTTAGGTTTGTTAGAACTTCAAGCATATATCCTTTCAAGAAATAAATAAAAATGATGTACAGATAGACATTGACTTATGACCACAATTGAGCCTAAAACTTCTGTTGTTAACTGAGGCATTTGTTAAGTGAATTTTACCCCGTTTTACGATCTTTCTTGCCTCAGTTGTTAAGTGAATCACTGCAGTTGATAAGTTAGTAACCCAGTTGTTAAGTGAATCTGGCTTCCCCATGGACTGTCAGGTCACAAAAGGTGATTGTCAAATCAATAATATCCAATATTAGCATCCGGCCCCCCTTACAAAAAGGATAGGTCCTGTATGTGAGCAAAAGCATATGTCAGGGATTATCCCTTGGTTTATTGGGGTTTTTCTCATGAAACTTTTTGATGAGTCGGTCAGCCTTCCCATCATTAGATTTCACCCAAGTAGCTTTGGACAGCAAGTACCCCTTCCATTGTACTAGGTACTGCAATTTCCCTTTAAAAATTCTAGAGCCAAGAATACGTTTCACTTCATAGTGAGTCTGTCCCGCAACTACGAGGGGCCCGGGTGCCTTCTTAGGGGGAGGTCTTAAAGTGGAGCCTCGATAAGGTTTCAACAAGCTACAATGGAAGACAGGGTGAATCCGACTAATGGAACACTTCAAAGTGATCACATGACCTTGGGACACAGCAGTGGTCATAAATATGAGCCAGTTGCTAATCACCTGAATTTTGATCACATTATCATGGGGATGCTAGAAAGGTCGTAACTATGCTGTTGTAACTTTGAACAGTCACTAAATGAACTGTTGAAGTCATGGACTACCTGTAATCTACAGCTTTCTTATGCTATCCTTTTTATTCCTGCAGAAGTCTTCTATCACCATAAGTGCTTGATGCTGAAACGTCTTCGATTATCTTTCTAAAAGCCACATACAAGGCTCAAAGGAAATGTACCTGTTTTCCATAGAAGTAGGGATAGAATGTAACTAAAGGATAGACTATAGATTAAGAGAACGTTTAAGTATACATGTGATCTTGGCTAAAGTAAGGGCCTGATATTCACTTGCAAAGATTCTGTACGAGACTTCATAAGCCTTCTGTGAAATCCAGAGCAATACAAAGATGTGCTTGATTCTTACTAGGTATAGCTAAGTTGAGAGAACACCTTAAGCCAAATCTATAAGTGAATTAGCTATTGCAGTTTGTAAATAAGTTCATGCTGTGCAAGTCCTGCACAACGCAATTTATTAAACAAGCCGTGGCATAATGTGATATGTATATAGTGTGATATATATCTTTTGATCTGTATGTATATACATATACAGAGCTTTTTTTCTCATAGAACGCCCAGAACAGAGTTCCAGCACCTTTTTTGGATGGAACCTTGTAGGGTAGGCAAGGCGGGTTGTATGACGTGTGTGAGTTCCAGCACCTTTTTTTTTTTAGAAAAAAAAAGCACTGTACATATACATACATGTTCTCATCATATGCTAAATAAATAATAATAGTGTGAAATGTAAAAGAGAACTGCTCTTATCTACTATTATTTTTTCAGACAACCAGATTTTTATTATATTATACTCCTTACATCTAAACTTCCATTTTCAATATTTGTAGCTCAGGGTTGAAATGAAGAATCCTTGGTACTCTCTGAATTTGGTTGTTTTCTTGCAGATGGGGTCTCATAACCTAAACTAGGTAACATCACCAGTGATGACATTACCTTGTTTGGGTAATGAAACATCTGCACAAAAACAACCAAGCTCAGAGAGCACAAAGTACCCTTCATTTTCCCATTTGAAATCACTTCTCAAATCTTGGTTTCAAGAGTTCTAGCATTAACATGAAAGAACTGTATATAACTTTCTGCTCCAGACACCTTAGGTGGCTTATCCCAGACCATTGGCATGTTAACTATCATGTTGTACTACGTGACAGATGGCATCCAGTGATCCTAGTGTGTGTTTTTGGGAGTATGTATTTATCAATTCCTTGTTATTGGCCAAACTAGCTAAGACTGCAAAAAAGTCCAAAACACTTGCACATCTGATTGCCTATAAATCATCCTTCAAGCAGTTTCTAAGGCAGTGATGGCGAACCTTTTAGACACTGAGTGTCCAAAAACCGCCCCCCGCCCCTGCTCCGCCTCCCGCCCTGCCTGCTCCGCCCCCACCCACCCGCAGGGCCACGCACCGCCTCCATGGTCCATCGCAGAAGATCGCCCAGGCAGCCCTGCAGCGCCATGGCGGCCACACCCTCCACCCACACCCCGCAGCATCATCTGCATGCTATGGGGCGCGAGGGCGGAGTCTTGTCCCTGCTTCCCGGCTATGTCCTTGGCTGCGCTGCTCTGTGCGGGCTGTGCCCGGAGGCGACTCTCCTCCAGGTTGCTGCTGGTGAGGAGGGGACTGCAGGGGGAGGCGGGGCTGGGGCAATGGCACACGTGCCCACAGAGAGGACTCCAAGTGCCGCCTCTGGCACGTGTGCCATAGGTTCGCCACCACTGTTCTAGGGCCTAATATAGGGCAAATAATCATACATCCTCCAGTTATTTTGGGCTACAATTTCCCAGAATCACAACTAGCATTGTTAATGACCAGAAGTTATGGGAATTTCAGGCAGGCATTTGGATTGTACCAGAGTTCCCATGATGGATGTAGCTTAATCAATGACCTACAGCTGAGTTTCTACTGTGTTTCTATTATATCTACAACAATCCAATCAGTGTCTAAAATAACACATTTTTATTAAACTCATCTGTAAGACTTCAATTTTTGTTTCTGAATAGACTGAAGTTCTCCCATGAGGACCTGTACAATACAGCTCAATAGTTAAAATACTAATAAATAATTAAAATCTTTCACATTTATAACCAAACTATCATTAGATACTTGACCCTTTACACTGAGGCTCCAACTCGCAAGATACCAGCTTTGAACTAGTCTTTTTTTAAAAACAGCACTCCAGAAAACATATATTTGTAAACATTTATTTTTTTCCCAAACTTGCATCAGCACACATTGTACAGCCTTGCAAATTATACATAAATTGAAAAAGGTGTCTCCTTTATATGTGCAATGAATCGTTTGATGTCCAGTGATCCTCTACAAATGATGAAAAAAAAAACATATCTAAACCACTTAAGAAGTTTCCAGCACTTATCAAATGTGATCACTCTTACAGTAAAAAAAAAAGTAAAGAAATAAACATATTGATGGGAACACAATTAAAGTGCAAACTTTTTACCATTTGGAGAGTCACCTTTTTACCGTTAACCGAAAACTAATGGGTTCCAGTTAAAATCGTTGGTGATGGTCATTTTTGTTCCTTTTTAATATTTATTCTGTTGGAATAGAAATAAGACGCTCAAAAGTAGAATTTATTGGCAGCTACCATTCACATTTCCTAAAGAAATCTAGAAAGGGAAGGGGTGGAGAAGGTCTTCAGTAGTTACTGTAGGACTCTTGTTATCTTGGAGAGGAAGAAAAGGGAGGGAAAAAAATCAGCTAATTTCTTTGCCTTTTGCATATTGGGCTAGAAAGAGTGTAATTCCCTTGAAGCTCTTCCCTCTTTCTTTTCCCACCCCAGTTCCCTGCTCTTAAACGGAGAGAAGCGTGCTGGCTTTATACAAAGGGATTACAAAATGCAGGTAAGAATATGGTTCTTCCTTGTGAATAAAAGTTTGGTGTACAACAAAGCTTTGGATCTGGTACAAGAATTTGGAAATATAAAACAAAAGTATTACAAAAGGGGATCTTTAATAGCATTCATTACAGAAGGCTGACTGTCCGTTTTATCTTATCACAGCTCTGTTTTGTAAGTTGATGATTTTACTTAATTTCCCCCCCCTGTATCTTCTCCGGGATCACTGAGTTTAATTCTTAAAAGACTTTACTGGTGTCTGACATCCAAGGGGTTTTATGAAGACAATAACAAAAAAAAAACATAAACATCAAGCCAATCAAGTAGAAGAGAGATAAGGACATGGAAGTAATAAAGGCTGAATGTTCAGTGCCGTAACCGTTACTGAGAACTAGCTCTTTCCAGGATGTGAAAGTCGTAATGTTTCTTGCTTGTTCTCAACCTAAACTTGTTCAGTGAGTTACTTTGTTTCTTCAATGCATTTTGGGCTGCAGACATGGTGGGAAACGTTGCCAGAACTGTATATGTGGATGCCAAGTCACTAAGTTTGGAGGGTTCCGTGTTTACGTTGCTATCTCCGCTCCCACAGTAGCGATGGTGGTGTTGGTGTGGCTGATGCACCTGCACCAATGGAGGGTCTCGTAGCCATCGAATCTTGGCACCGACTTTAAGAAGTTCCACAAACAATTTTTCAGCTTCTACACGAGTTATTCCTTCTGGCAGTTCAGTAATTTCCAAAACTTTTCCTATAACTGAAGGAGAACACAGGATTTAAAATGACTGTTAGGAGATGTAGTATATTGGTCCTTTTACTAAAGAGTGGCCTAAGTACAAAACTGTGTGATTGCCTGGCAATAAAATATTGGATTTGTCCTCAACCTATCACTATTCCAATTTCAGGATTTGAAAAAGACAACTAGGTTCCATACTCAAGGGATAGCCAGATATATTTGATGGAGGCTTATAGCATGAAGTCATGAGTTATCATCAGTGTTGCCATACTTTAAGAATTAGGGAAATATAACCCAGTGGCTTTTATCTTTCTTAAAGTTCGACACTAAGCATTAAAGGACTATTAAAGGAACTAGAATTTAAATACATGCTTTGCTGAGTCTTTTTTTTTGTTGCTGTTGCTATTATAACAATATCCATCTCTTGAGGAAAGATTCCAGAAGGAACAGCTACTTAGCCTTTTCTCTAATGGCAGGAACTAAATTAAACTCACAGCATCCACTCTATTGAAATGGCTAAATTCTTAACTGCCACAAAGGGATGGTTTAAAGAGTGATCGGTCTACAATACCTCAATTATAAAGAAAAAAAAAAGATTTTACATACATGTTCCAGATGTGGCTGCAACATGCATAGTATTACTAAATAAAGGTTATGTACAGGCCCCTGATGGATCCAGAGGGTTCCTGAGCAACACTTAGGGGATTTCCCAGCTATCTAGAAAGCAGTTCTGCAGGCATCCTGTTAGCCTTTGGATAATGGAGGTGACCCAGGCACTTGACAAGATGGCTCTTGGGTGGCCCTTCCCCTTTCACAGAACCTGAGGGGCTCCTTAGTTTACCAGCGAGTTTAAGAAAATGAAGTGGGTGAAAGGATGCCTGGAGCAACTCTGATGCAAATAAGAAGTGAGTATGACCAGATACAAGTAGAGCTTAAATCTGAGCCTATTCAAGGGGAGTACTTCTCATCCTTATTTCACCTGCATAATGCCAGCCAGCTGTGCTATTTAGAGTAGCTCAGACCTAAAGATGACTAGGAGGATCAACCAAATATGTAATATGATCATCTGGTCAATCATTTCACAGATGAAACAGCTTGCATTGGCTTTTTATTGGAAGCTGGTTGGGTGGAACAGAGGGGTTGAGTCTCCAGGAAGTGGACTTGTGAATTTAATCCTTTTTTCCTGCCTGGCTAATTTAAACAGCATTGGAAAGAACTGGGAGTTGGGTACAAGCTGAAGTAAATGCCTCTTAGAGGGAGATTCCAGAATTCCAGTTTTGCGTCGCAATAAGACAGACGCAGGAAGGCAGACCTCTGCCTTCCACGCCAGATTTTGCCCTACTGGGGGTCCTGAAAAGAGCCTAAAGTCGCCCCGAAGAGATGATGAAGAAGGAAGGGTGCCTTGTTGATCACGGAGAGACAGTATTTTTTCCGTTTGATCCAAGGAAAGCCCTCTAAACCGTCAGGGGAAAGACCAGCCACATCTCTGTGGCCAGCCATTAGCTGCTGACAACCGAAAAACAAAAGCTTCAATTAGCACATTGTAAACAGCATGTTTGGAACTGGGTGAGAATACTGATCCTTTCTTTACTATTTTACAACTGAATTTCCTGGGAAAGACTCCCAAGAAGCTAAAAACCTCCGGATGTGAACAGAAGCAGTGTTTTAAATTTTTTGTGGGGGACAGAAATACACAATACTGAAGTGAAAGTTATACAAAGCTACAGTTTTGATAAATTTGAGAACTGAGATAATTGTTAAGATTTTGTTTTTGGAAAAAAAATCACTGAGGTGAAATATAAGAAATCAACCCTTTTTTTAAGAGTGGAAAATGGACTTTGGATGACATCTAGTGGTGGATTTGAATATAGCACTATAACTAGCCCCTTGGCTGCTTGGTGATTTTCAGCTGAAGGGAGAACAGCTAGCAATAAAGGAAAATATTTTGGCATATTTATCATCCTGACCTTCTTGGACTATAAATACCTACTGAGCTTGGACTTTTAATCTGAAGAGCTATTGGGAGAAAGAAAAGTTTGACTTTTGAATATGTCTGGCTGCAGGGAGGTTGAATATTTTGAACACTTGGAACATTGTGGACTACACCCTTGCCTGACTGATAATTTTCAGGATACTTGAGACAAAGAATTACTATAAAATACTGCCATTAGGACTGGTTTATAAAGGCTACATATAAAGACTAGAAAACTAGAGGAAACTTTGTTCCACTCTTACTGATACTGGTGACACTAGAAGATTTCTAGGAATGATGCCTTAAGAAAAAACAAATACCTTTCAGAAGGAAATATTCTCCATGCTACAGCTAATTCATCAAACAATTGTTGCACCCAAAGAGGACATAAAAAGAAATCATAATGAGACTAAAAATAACCTAGATGATATAAATGACCAAATCGCCAAATTGAAGCTACAACTGGAAAGTTTCCAGATAACAATTACAAAGTATGAACAAATAAACCAGAAACCAGAGAATGAAGCAGAAGAAATGGACCTAGAGATGGAGATAGGAGAAGGAAAATATGGACTGCTATATACAAATAAAATACTGCAAGACCTACCTATAACAATGAAAATACAAAAGACCCCTTAGTCCTTTCTCCAAAATACAGTTGATGACAAGAAAAAAGATTCTAGAAAATGGAATATACAGCGGGAAGGGGAAATGTTTAGGGAAAGTGGATGGGTGGAGTTCCCCCTCCAAAAATACTCTACCTAAATTGTCTTCCTCATGCCAAGCAGCTTTCACAAAAATAGAAAGAAAAATTTGGGGTGATTTAATTGCCTTGGCCCGGAAAGCTACTTGGCAAAGAAAGAAAGTGAGAGTTAGATTTAAAAAACAGAGGATTTGATCTATTAGAGGGGGCTCTAACTGTTTAATATACCTGTTTGAATATGATTAAAAGAATGAATGACCCTTAGATATGACTAGATTTTTATAATGGAAGATATAATAGATATAACTAGATTTTTATAATGGAAGATATGATTTAGAATTGAAATAGCATTTTTTTGGTTCTTCTTTTGATATGGGAAATTTGAAAATAAGAGAATTGGTATGAATAAAATTTTTAGCTATATAAATGTAAATAATATTGAGAAAATCATAAATGACATACTTTAAATATTGTTGGGAAATCAAACGTTAATAAGAGCACAAAAAACAGGATATTGAATTGATATTATTATTTGTATAATATTAGTAAAATATGATGAAGATGTCTTTATCAGTAGTACCAAGAATTGTAATTGTCTAATGAGGAGAAAATGAAAAAAATATGGGAAAGAAAGGAGGATCAAGGAAAAAATACTGGATTGTGCAGCATGAATAGATATTTTTTTTGTTTGAACAAAACTCAGCAGCACTTTTTCGTGCGGCTGCTGATAAAAACAGGGTCGCCAATGTCCAATAATGGATATGGCACAAGAACAATAGATTTATATTGAAGAAGTTAATGTTAAATATGTAAACCCAGACAACATGTTGTTTACTAAGCTCTAAAGATTGTAAATTTTAAAAAATTAATAAAACTTATATAAAAAGAGGGAGATTCCAGTTCCCTTGAAAGAGGTCCATCCTCTCTTCAAAGAATCTGACCCGGATCCAACAATATTGGAGAACCACTGCCTAATATTCAACCTCCTCTTTGAAGGCAAATTGTGAAGAAGCTGGCAGTTCAGTAACTTCAATAAAGTGGCAATTGCAGAGGGCTCTAGAAGAAGTGGATTATCTTATCTGAACTCCTGTCGGTCAAGCTGGGATATGCAATGGGGCCACCTTGGTCTTGCTTCCTAATGACATACAGAAAGGCATGGATGGTGAGAATGCAACTACCCTTTTCCTGCTATTCCTTTTGGCAGCTTTTGATATTGTTGATTACAGCAGTCTTCTGGACCACCTGTGAGGGCTGGGAATGGGAGGCATTGTTTTATGATGTTTCTACTGCTTTCCAAATAGACAGGTCCAGTCAATCATACAATGAGAGGTTGAGTCTGTGGGTGGCCTTATATGAAATGTCCCAGAGCAAAGTTCTCTCTCTCACTCTGTTCGACATCTACACGGCATTCCCTTGAAGACTATTTGGAAACTCCAACTGGTATAAAACACAGTGGCCTATTTATTATATTAAATTAATACTTGATTTTACAGAAGGATTCAAAGCTTGGTTATATATTTGAAGGGCTATACCTTAAGTCATGTTCTGTTGCAGACTGTTGCACACAGTACATAATAAGCAATTGAGCACACCAACTGATGCAGCAGAATTGCCCAAGAAAGACCATTGCAAGTCAGCATGAAAAGGAAGGTATAGACAGTGAGAAATAGAAGCTGCTGAGAGAAGGGGATGACTCTCAAACCTATGAGAAAGTATAGAAAGTCAAACTTGCCCCCTCCTGTTCAGGGAACGCAGATTGTCAAATCAACTAAATTCAATTAATCACACATCTGGGGATCATTATGCTTGTGCCAAATAAAATTTCAAATTTCTTAATATTACCCTGGTGACCCACCCTAACATGCATGTCAATTCATTTTGGGCTGGCAGCATGCAGGTTAAGAACTACTAACATAATCTGTATTCATCTCCATTATTCCTACAGAGCAGCATAAAAAAGAAAGAGGTATAATATACTACAACAGTTGCAATAGTTGCATCACAAAGTAATACCAGACAATGAGTTACATGCCTGGTTCTCCCGCACCAAGATCAGCTGAAACAGCCTTTTTAGCTGGTTTTCTTCCTCTATTTCCATGTCTGTTTCCTGGTTGACACTAAAATAGGAGTGGGGTGATCGAGATGGGGGTCAGAGAGAGAGAGAAAGAGAGAGACAGAGAATTCAGATACATGTACATAAAAAATTGATCAGGAATGATATTTCTTCTACTTCCCACATACATATTTTCCAACCACAAAGAATGAAGATTGCCACGTGATCAATCTTAATGGAGCCATTTAAATGATATATTACAGCTTCTTGGAAAGAGATCTAGCACACTGTAACTTGAATTCACGAAACAGTGCGATGCTTTTAACTGTTTCATATTTTATTTGTTAACTATTTTAAGGACTTGTGTTTTATTTGTTATTGTTACCTGCCTTCAAAGCCCTATTGGCAGAAAGGTGGAATATAAATAACAAATCATTTATTCATTGCAATGTAATTAGCAATTTCTGACTCAGGGAAGCAGCTAATATTTGACAGAGGTGTTTTTTTTTTAAGGCACATACGTTTAGATTTACAAATAAGTGCTAATCTATGATGACCTTGGTGATCTCTGAGCTTAGTTGTTTGCCTGCACATGTTTCATTACCTAACTAGGTTACATCATCAATGTGAGTGATTGTAGGGTTTGCTCCATGTTTATATATACAGGTAGTCCTTGACTTACGACCACAATTGAACCCAAAATTTCTGTTGTTGTGAGACTTTGTTAAGTGAGTTTTGCCCCATTTTACGACCTTTCTTGCCACAGTTGTTAAGTGAATCATTGCAGAGTGGGTCTCCTCAGGGTGCCGTCGGCCAGACAGTGCCAGCTGGCGACCCCCAGGGGGAGGGCCTTCTCGGTGGGAGCTCCCACCCTCTGGAACGAACTACCCCCAGAGATCTGGGTGATCCCGGATCTCCCTTCCTTCCGCCGCGCCCTTAAGACATGGCTATTTCAACTAGCAGGACTGGCCTAAGGGGTAATTTTTAGCGGGGTTTTAAATATAATTTTAAAATAACAAAGGCCAATCTAATATTTCCTTTTAATTATGTTTTAATGATAGTATTTTGGTATTTTTTGTATTTGTTTTTATTAGGCTGTTAGCCGCCCTGAGTCCGCAAGGAGAAGGGCGGGGTAAAAATCCAATAAATAAATAAATAAATAAAATAAATAAATAAGTTGTTAAGTTAGTAACCCAGTTGTTAAATGAATCTGGCTTCTCCACTGACTGCTTGTCAGAGGTCGCAAAAAGTGATCATGTGACCCTGGGACACTGCAATTGTCACAAATATGAGTCAGTTGCCAAACATCTGAATTTTGATCATATGACCATGGGATGTTTCAACAGTCGTAAATGTGAAAAATGGTCATAAGTCACTTTTTTCAGTGCTGTTGTAACTTTGAACGGTCACTAAATGAACTGTTGTAAGTTGAGGACTACATATAGTTACTTGCCCTGCTAGTTTTGATGGCAGAATAGTTTCCTCTTTGGTGGTTCCCTGATTAGAGTATTGTTTTCTACCTGACCATTTGTCTAGTGTTGATCTCTGTTTATCTGAATGTTGGTGGCTGGAAAGGAGGAGTTCTGGTCTTTTTTTGTTTTCTTTCTCTTTTTTTATCATCTTTTCTGAATGGTTTGTAAATGTGGTTTATCTCTATGTGTGTTTTGATGGCTGATTTGTCCGACTGCCAAAATTCCAGGAATTCCCTAGTACAGTGGTGGCGAACCTATAGCACGTGTGCCAGAGGCGGCACTCGGAGCCCTCTCTGTGGGCACACGCACCGTCGTCCCAGCCCCACCTCCTCCCACGGCCCCCTCCTCACCAGCAGCCCCCCTGGAGGAGAGCTGCCCCCGAGTGCGGCCCACGTGAAGCAGAACAGCCAAGGACATGGTAGCCGTGCAGTGGGGACAAGACTCCGCTCTTGCAGCCCGTCATGCACATCTGAAGTTGCGGGGCATGGGCAGAGGGCGTGGCCGTCATGGCGCTGCTGGGCTGCCTTGGTCTGTGGCGGGTCGTGGAGGCGGTAGGTGGCCCAGTGGGCAGGGTGGAGCGGGGACAGGGGTTGGGGGGCAGTTTTTGGGCACTCGGTCTCTAAAAGGTTCGCCATCACTGTCCTAGTATTTTGGCATTTGGCTTGGCTTAAGATGCTAATAACTTACTGGTTGAAACTGTGGTTGTGTCTGTCCATGTGTTATGGGTTTAAGAGTTTTCATCGTGTTTTCTGACAGCTATTTTATGCTAGTGGTGTTGGAGAAGACTCTTGAGAGTCCCTTAGACTGCAAGAAGATCCAATCAGTCAATCCTGATGGAAATCAACCCTGACTGTTCCTTGGGAGGACCAATACTGAAGCTGGAGCTCAAATATTTTGACCACCAAAGGAGGACTCCTGGGAAAAGACCCCGATGTTGGGAAAGACAGAAGGCAAAAGGAGAAGGGGACGGCAGACGATGAGATGGTTAGATAGTGTCACGGATGCAATGAACGTGAACTTGGGCTAACACTGGAAGACAGTGGAGAGCTGGGGGGCCTGGTATGCTATGGTCCATGGTCAGACATGACTTAGCAATTGAACAATGACAACATTTTGTTATATTCTGTTAGGTAGCCTACTGTAAAGAAAGCCCTTTTTCGTACCTGTGGACCTGCTATGTGCCCATGTGGCAGAGAAGGATTGTACTGCAAAGGCTGGCCAAGTAGAGGATATCTGGCATCTCCTGAAGAAATACACAGAAACAAGATAGTTTAAAATTCAAATACCAACGCTACTTTATGTTAAGAATAGGTAACTGAAAAATTAAAGAGTATTTTGTATTCTTAAAGATTTATTTTTAGCAAACTTTTGCAGAAATCTTTTATTTAGGGAACATTTCATCTTTAAAAAAAAACAAAACTAAAACCCAACCCTGCATCGCAGCACGGTGAAGTACTGCATAGGATGAAGTAAAGGAGTTTAATTTGGTCTGGGATCACAGTGGGCTAAGTAAAATAAAATATATAATTGTATGGTGATTACGTCGTAACATGTAGGCTACAAAGATGCCTTCATATGCAAAAAAGACATGACCCAAAAGAATGTGATAGAGATGCAAAACCTTGTAATCAGGATTGCCATCTCCAAATATTGTAAACTCTCTTTTAGGAAGTCAAAGTTAATCAAAAGTTAGCTGAGTATATTAATAAAGAGCTGATCAAATGATGTTGGGAAAGACCGAGCCAGGCAGGGGGAGAGACCTCAAGCAACGAATGAGGCTCAAGTCCTTGCGCACGTGCAAGCGGTCCGGAACTGATTCCCCTTAAGCTCCATAGACCCTCATCTATCTGTTCTCAGCCAAAGGCGGCTAGTCGGGGGAAATTCCTGTATAATGTTCAGAATATATTAAAATGGCAAGCTTGAACCTTACAGGTGTAGGTCTGGTTACTTTTGCCTGACAATAAAGACTTCAAGAAAACTGCAATACCTCACTGAAGTCTGCCCAATGGTCAGTGAGGATGCGAAGAGCCCCAAAAGTGTGGAGGCAAAGGTTACACACACACACCGATTTGACCCTTGTGGTAAAACAATTAAAAATCTCTGTGACACAACATTATTATCCAAAATTCATAAATCCCACCTTGCTAGCAAATAAATTGAAGCAAATTGTGTCCTTACTTAGCGTTTAATGAGAATACCAATGGGAAAGCAAAACTTTCTTTTTTTTGAAAGAAACAAAATGCAACTTCCTAATTAGATTTTAAAAGCCATAATAATGCATAATTCAGTATTTAGGAAATGGGAATTCTTACCTTGTCCTGGAACGAAATGTCGTGAGAATGGGGGCACAAGAGGAAGAGGTGTTAAAGTGGGACGGATGTTCTTCATGTTTGAGAGCTGAGTTGGTGCCGGTGACTGGGCTGGAGATGGGGCAGGGCTACCTATTTGTGGACTATGTTGCAGCTGTTAATTTAATGAGAGAGAGCGAGAATACACAATTTTGTCAGAGCATGGGAAAAAAACATGCCTTTAATACACTCAGCTATCTAGTTTAAATAATCTTCGCTGAGTAAAAATGATGCTGTGATGTGTAACCCTGTTGAACTCTCACACTTAGCAATTTCTTGAAAGGCTGATTTTCCTTTCCTATAGTTAAGAGGCCTAACATCAACATAAGTGACATGAACAGAAAAACACTCTATTTTTACACATTCTTGGATACTATGTAGAAGGATCCATACTCTAGAACTCTATTAATCTTCTAATCTCAGTCAATGTAACCTTCTGTTAATTTTCTTACAGTACTGGACTTTAGACTTCGATTACTTTATTAATATAACTTGGGGTGCGGGATGGCATTTGAATTACGGAAAACTCAGCCCTTCCCGGATCCAAAACCAGAGCAAATTTCCTATTTGAATCTGAATTTCATCCTTCCTTCAATATCTAAAAACCCAGTCTGGATAACAAACATTCGAACACCCTTGTAAAAGGGACGTTTCCCTTCCTGAAAATATCTAGGTTTTCCAAACACAGGATAAGTTATACCTGTGGGCAACTGTCCAATGAACCAAACTCTGTCGATTTCTGCCCTCTTTGATGATCGCAATAATATTTATTCTGCTTCCACTGAGGAGGGGAATGGGGCCGAGGCTGAGGATTATTGGGAATATTGAGCTGCATCATTACCATTCCTCCACTGGGGGGTGGTGCTACTGCTGCAAAACAAGATTGGAAAGAAGGGGTGTTAGTTATTTCTCCTTTGCCATTCTGAAAAACCTAAGCAAATCTACCTTTAGGTTGATGTTATCAATCAAGGCCTTGCGCAATGCTCTGTCAATGTCAGACTCGCAGCTAAGAGCTTTTTGATTCTAATTCCTGTGGTTCCGTCTAACTGTGTTTGCCTACAGACAAACAGTTTGCTTTAGAGTATTGGAGGGACTTTGAAGGAGAGTTGGGGGCAATGGGAGGGCAGGGTGAAAGTAGTTCTTGAATAAACAGAGTTGGAAGGACCTTGGAAGTCTTCTGGAATCTAGTCTATCCCCCCCCCCCCCAAAGCAGGAGATTCCATACCAGTCCAGAAAAATGCTGTAGTCATTTATAGCTGATCTGGTGCACCTGATTCTAAGTTTAGGGGTTTGAGGTAGTGATAAATGTAAGGGTATGCTTACTTTTTTCACATTCATAATTTGCGTTAATGTTTATTTAAATTTCCCAATGGACTACTAAATGTAAATAGTACAGTACATGATATTTGTTATGTTCTTCCCCCTTTATTAATTATATTGTTGAAATGAAGAACAAATATCTGTGTGATCAAAAACTCAAACATTTCAAGGGTTATGTGTTTTCATATGATTATATTTAATGATTGGTATATTTTAACTATCCACTCTAGAAAACTTGAATAAACTTACCCATCGCTTAGAGTCTATGATAATTGAATTCTTGCCCAATTTGAGTAGTTTTTAAAAAATTAATGCTGTTATGAGTTAACAAACTTAAGAAAAGAAGGCCTCCCAATTGGGAGAAGTGTTTGAGCTCTTGTGAATGCAAATAACACTAAATATAGCCCAATACTTTGGGCCTTCTGTTATGGGAGACTTGTAGGATTCCACTTTATCGTGACTTTGTTAATCAGAGGCGGAGGAAGACAACGCAACTTTTAACTGATTCCTTCCCCCCCACCGTTCTCTCTCTCTCTCTCTCTCTCTCTCTCTCTCTCTCTCTCTCACACACACACTTCTTGAAAAATTGGTTTACAAAACTGAACAGCTGAAAAGATGGCTCAAAAGAATTACCACTGCTGGAACTCAAACACTTCTATCAAATGGAGGCCTTTTGTTTTTAAGACTGCTTATTTAATTAAATTAAAAGTTAATTTAAAAATCTGTTTTTGGGATTCTCATACAGCAACTTTAAAAAAAGTGCTCAAGTTAATTTCGCAAGAATTCAATTACTATAGAGTCCAAACGATGGGTAATTTTTTTCGAGTTTTCTACAGTGGATAATTAAAATATACTAATTATTAAATGTAGTCATACGAAAACATATCCTCCTTTGAAATGTTTAACTTTTTATCCCACAGATATTTGATCTTCATTTCAATAATATAATTAATGAAAGGGGTAAATATAACAAATAGCATGTACGGTACTATTTTTTTAGTCCCTTGGGAAACTTAAATAAACATCAATGCAAATTATGCGTACATACAGCTACATTTAACACTACCTCAAACTCCTAAACTTAGAATCAAGCGCACCAGATCAGCTACAAATGACTACAGCATTTGTCTGGACTGGTATAGGGTCTCCTGCTTGAGCAGGGGGTTGGACTAGACCACCTCCAAGTCCCTTCCAACTCTGTTATTCTGTTATTGTTAGGGAGGATTTGGAAGAAATCTGTCTTTATTGAATCTTCAGATGTTTAGTTTGATTTGCTCTTTGTTGTTGAAGTGTGGTATTATCACACCTAGATTGAAAGAGCTCTCTGAGGTCTTGAAGCTCTTGTTTTTGGATTGTCCTAAGTATTTAAGCTTTAGCTTCACAGTTAGTGCCTTCAGGTTGTAGTCAGGTTTTAGCTCATCTAATATTGAATCACCCGCTCTTGCTTTTTTTCCGGATAGTAGTAGATGGCCATTCCACCACCTTTTGCTTTGGAAAAATGTTTTCAAGTTCTTTTCTCTCTGCCCTCTCCAAAAAAACTTTTATCCCAAAAGCTGTCTACGGTCTCCCCATCAATTATACTGACAAACTCCCTGACATTTGCAAAATGCTTTTCTTTTAGTATGCAGGAATAGATGTGAAACTTTTGTACTATGTACTGTTTTCAGCGAATTTTAAGACAAGTCCATGCGTATAGTATTTAAAGCCAATAAACTGTCATTTCCTCATTTATCATTAGATTTATATCCTGTGTTTGTTTTGTATGCCTCAAAGTGATGTTGTCAAGGTAATAATTTAACAACTAGCCAGCTTGTATAATGTGAGATGTATGATGTAATGATGGGAATGACTCAGCAGGGTCTGTGCCCCTTTAAGAGCCTTTGTATAGAAGGAAGGCTCTGCTACTGTGTTCTTTCTCTTCCGTTTCCTGCTGTAATTATGGTTTGTTGGATCCTGCTGTGTTAGCACGTGTATGTATACAGTATTATTCCTAGTGTATGATATTGTAGATAGTGTAAGATAAATCACCATTTAATACAAAACACTGTTTACTGTGTTTACTCCTGGATTATCTCAGCACAATAAGTTGTGCACGCTCTGACAGATGTACATAATGTTCCCAATTTTACCCCAGGAACCAGTGAGATAGGCTGGACCGAGACAGAGCAACAAGCCTCCTTTCATACCTAAGGGAGGACTAGAATTCAGTTTCCCTGTTTTTAATGCAGCACCTGAATCACTGCATCAAAATGACTCTCTTCCAATTCTTTGCCATAATGCACTGGTACAAAAATTATTTTTTTTAAAAAAAAATCTAATTAAGTGAAGAAAAATGGATTAATTTGTTAGTGTTCTATTTTCACACCTGCACACTGTTGTCCTTGGAGCTGTTGGGAATTACAAGGTGATGTTGTTCTAGGAAACTGTATCTGCTCTGACCCTGGAGGTTGAAGATATGCCACTGAAGAGCTGCAGCAGATTGGAGGGGGGGGGGGAGGAAAAAAAAGAACAATAGAAGCATATTAAATCGCAACATTCATTTCATCCATAATGCTTTAAATAGATGAAAGTTGCAAGCTTAATTGGGATTTACACAAAAACAGACATCATGCACTCCAGAAATTAAAATTAATAGTTGTATCGTTTCTCATGACTTTCTTTTCTTATAAAATAGTAAATGTCAATAATAGATTGTCTACCTTAATTACCTTTTCGGTCTCTTAGGAAACAGATGAACAAGTTTAATTTGCTTTCAACTGAAGGCTGAAAATATATTCTAAGTTACTGTATTTCCCTTTCCTAAATTAATGGGTATTTGATTATTTTATAATTAATCAGGTTGTAAAAAGAACAAATTATCTCTACAATGTATCTTAATAAAGTTAATATGAATGCAACATTGGACTTAAGAGCTCGTTAACTAGACAGATAGACAGAATTGCTATTTTTCTTTTTCTAACTTTTCTGTGCATTATTCAAAGAGTGACTTTTGTAAAGGTGACAAGGCTTTAAAGACTGACGTTAATTTAAATGTATCACGGTGACTTGTTAAACAATAATAATAATTAATGTAAGGCACACAAACATCAAAGTAATCCTAAATGTTGAAAAAAAAAACCCCAATATAGAAATAATCCCACTGAAAGTTAAAGTTTGGATCACAACGATTTTAAACTGTTTTATTCTTCTCCTACCAAAAAACCAAGATGTTATATAGCCAAAGAGTTATATAGGATATAGCATTGCATATTTTTCCAAAAGATCCTTTATAGTGTGCCTTCCTTTCCTTCCAAACAATGCTATATCAACTTGTTTTCAACACCTATTGCCATATCTCCAGCTGCACAGGACAACAGAACACTGCTCCTTAAAATATTCTAATAAATCATGACATTTGAAATTTAAATTCATCTTATACAAATAAAAATGTAAATGTTCGTTTGTTCAAAGTCTTAAATCTCCGAAAGTTCTTCACCGATTGCTTTGAAATTTTGACACAACGTTGCATTCGAATACGCGCGCGTTTTTATATACCTACTATTATATAAATGTCACACCTGTGACAGGTAAAAACATGTTTTTGAAAAACAGCGCCATCTGTTGGACGTAAAAGCAACACACGCTAACAAAAAAATATTGTACACCCACAAGCATTGTGAAATTAAACATATTACAAACGTGCGCTTTCTCTTTTCTTTCTTTTCCATTTAACCAGACTGAGCCACAGCAATGTGTGGCCGGGTACAGCTAGTTTTAAATAAATTCATACATTCAGAATTTCCTTTTTTAATGGAAGATTTACCTCCATATCATTAAGGGAAGAAGAGGACCTCGGAGTATCAGCAAGGTCAGGAAATAGACACCACAAGGACTACTAGAACTCTATTATGGTAGGTAGGAGATACTTATAAAACATTGAAACACTGAGGTTCTGAGAGTCTACATCTGTCTTCCCATGTTTTCTTGATGGAGCTGCAATCCTAGCTGTGCAAATTACAATCTTCCACATGATGGCACAAAGGAAATGATACAGTCAATAATAAAATTTGATTTTGTCGAAGATATTGAATAAACTGCACTTAATCACCAGGTCTATATTTGCTATATGCTATACCAGTGGTGGTGAACCTTTTAGAGAACGAGTGCCCAAACTGCAACCCAAAACCCACTTATGCATCGTCGGGTGCCGGGTGGGTGTGGCCCATTGGGTGGGTGTGGCTGCGGTGGTAACGGCAGACTGGGTGGGACTAAAAAGTTCAATCAATCAATTCCAACTTTGCAAGATCTTTTTTTTTCCCCGCGAGAAGTTGAAATTGACTAATTGATTGAACCTTTTTTTTTTTTGCACACGGCGGCGGAGGCCTAAAGCGAAAAGTTTTTAGAAAACCCAGCTGAAGGCCTAGGACTGGGGTGATGGTGCGCGTGCCCACATAGAGGGCTCTGAGGGCCGCCTTTGCCACCCGTGTCATAGGTTCGCCACCACTGTGCTATACAAACCAAGCAATTTTTTTTCTTCCTAGTATTTTCCTATAAGTTCAGGATCTGCTTTTTTTCTGATTAAACAAGCTGGTTTTTAAATGTTTGCTTATAAATTACTGCACCAAAAATAAAAACCTCCCAGTATGCACTTAAATTCCAAGTTGGCAGCTGAATAAATTCTACCTTATTTCAATTGAATGTTGACAAGTGATTTTAAAAGGGAAACATGATTGGATTAGTAAAGCTGTTTTCTGAGCCCAGTTAGCCAATCTGGAGGAGTTTATAATTGCTTTATAACTAACATCTGATGCCAGAGATTACATTGGTTGTGACAGGAACTGACCGGTCAGCTTGTTGCCCAAGTTTAACATCTTAGGCAGTTTTCATATCTAAAGTAGGACTAGAACTCACAGTCTCCTGGTTTCTAGCCTGATGCCTTAATCACTAGACCTTAACCGCTAGAACTCTCTATTGCACAAACCAAGTGCATACAATTAGGAATATATATAATTTGATGAATGAATGAATGAATAAATAAATAATAAAGCCTAGTTTCTCACCATCCATCCCCAACTAATCCTGTTCTGTAAAGTTTCACTGTAAGAGAATACTCATTGTCATTACAGACTATGAGATTAAGAATACATCCATCAGTAGTTTTATAGTTAAACTAAACCACCGAAGTAAATTTCCCATATTTGTTTCATTATTAAAAAATACTGAACATATATAAGTATAAAATATTTATATTAAGAAATAGGAATGAAGTCAATGCACTTTAAATATTTAAGCAGGAATATGTACCATCTTTTAGGCTTGTAAGCATATCTGGAGCTTGAGAGCATGTTTTCAGCATTCTCATAAAATGTCTGCAACATGGAGTATTATAGCTATCCATCAGAACACTAAATGCACTAACTAATGAGGATACATCCTACTATCCTTCATCATTCTTGTCTTTTTTTCTGGCAGTTGTATGTAACTCTTTATACCATGCCACTGCCACAGTCCTTTTAAAATTTCTAAGTATGCCCGTGGGTTTCACAGAGGTCAGAATTCCTGGAAATTAAGATGATGCTTTGCAATGTGCAGTTTCCTATTAATTTACATTATGAAACTGAAAAATAAAAACTACTCAGCATCTGGTGCCTTTTCCTAATTTGGGGAGCAGGGGGCAAATAATATTGAAAAGCTGATATATCGACTGTTCTGCATCAGAAAAAAAAAATCCCTGAAAATAACCATTTCTTAAAAAGATGGTAGAACTTTTTATTCACACTCCTAAAGAACAAAAATACCCATGTCTCAATCACATAGAACAGAAATAGGAACTTTCTGCAGATTCCAGAAATATGTTTATTTTAAGAACAAAGTACACCCTCTCACATATTCATATAATGGGTTAAAAAAGTAACAACAGACCCAGAATTCTCCTCAAAGCTTGCTTTAGAAATGAATTTCTATCCATATGTTCTTTGGCATTATATCTGAACTAGGATGCCTATCTTAATGGCTCTTCTAAAAAAAATAATCAGAATCTTAGCCCAAGAACAAAGTCTGCCTTAAGAGGCATTCTTACTGAGATGGGATCCCAGCTGAGACGCCATATAAAATCTAGACAGATTTCTTGGTTTATTAGGCCGTTCCACTAACATGGAAAGTAAAGTGGAAGCAATTGGGAGCCAACACCAGGACCTTCTCTTGCTCATGGAAAATGGCTTGCAAATTAAGCTAATGCTTTTTAAAAAAAAGCTGGCATGATTCCCATATCCTGCGCAGTAATTTTTTTTCTTCTCAAACCCTAGCTCATTATTTGCACCATATTCCACTTTTTTTCCTTCTACATAGCTTTACAAATTCCCAATGCAGTTTTCTTTGACATTAGAGAAGCACTATCTCACAGTAAGGAGTGACTCACTCCTATTCCCTGACATTAGCTGATTTAACTATTCTGTGATCCTTCTGTAGCACGCACACAAACATATAACTTTTTTTTTTTTTTGAAAGATCATATTCACCTGCTTGGCAGTGCTGTTCACCCCTTCATTTATCCTCAACAGTAGAAAGACTGAGGACATTACTTGAGGTTATTTTGGGCATCCACTGACAAATAGGGCAGAACCTCATGTATTATATATAAAGCAGAGCAGCAAGTCAAGGTCTTTATACTGTGGAGAAGGTGAACTTTTAAAAATAAATAAGTGCATGCATCCACTGAGGGGTGCATTCGAAGCTGATAGCGATATCACCAGAAGGAGTCCAATAATTTTTTGAAACAAAATAGATGCATTTCAACCAATAGAAGAGGCTTAATGCCCTTGTTCTGCTGATAATTTCTACAAAAATCTCAAAATGTTTTTCTTTCTTTGGGTTTCAGCTTCCATGCATGCCTCATAGAGGGGAGGAAAGAACAGATTCATAGTTTCCCATCCCAGAAGGGAAGGAAGAAGCACAATGCAAATTGCTGGACATGGAGCAATATATTACATGAAGCATGAGAACTCAAATCAGATGCTCTAGTGTAAAATATGGAATTTAACCTCCAAGCATAAAAAGGAGGTTGCTCTATGATTAAACATTTATATATAGAGAAAATGTTTCTGAAAACTAAAAAGCCACTCCATCCCATCCTGTCATTTCTAAAAATTAAGCAGGCACAATTAAAACTTCTGCTCATTTTCATACTCCCTAAAGATATCCTTTTAAAAGAAACATTGACATGAAACAATGGTTTAGCCTACACAGACATTAAAAAAATAGGATTAAATCATAACACGTTATTCAAATTAAACTTCAATGGGTTTGTAAGTTATTGATACTGTTTTTCATTGTGTATTGTGGCTTCTTCGACCACCACGATCTTTTTTTTTTTTTTTTCAACAAAATTTTTATTGGTTTTTATTTAACATGGTGGCAAGGCCATCAATTAATCAAAACAAAATCGTACTTATACAATTCAAATTATATCAATATAATTAACTCAATTATACATATAAATAATCTATTATTATTTTAATGTATCCTACTTCCCCCTTTAATCAATACTATTAACTCTACTTCTATACTCCCTCCCAGCCCCAGGCCCCCCTAACCCCCCGGACTTCCCAGAACTGATTACAGGATTAAACATTCATCCTCCCAAATCTATATAAAGCTACCCACTATAAACTAATCTAATATAAACATACTTTAACTCATAAAAAGATAATCAAATATAAGCTAATATAATCTTTCTAAATATAACCAATCCATCCTCACCAATCCCTTAATCATACAAAAAACTTTGCCATATCTTCAATTTATCAATTATATATAGAACATTCCATCACCCCTACAATTATATATAATATACCATCACCCCTACACCATAATCAAATATTTATGATATTTTAAAATAATAATAATAAAAAAGGGGATATATCAGTTTTTAATCTAAACCATCATTATTAATTTTTTTTCTCCACTGCTTCCCTTGGTATACAGTACTATAATTTTCCATGTATTAATATTTCTTTAAAATTGCATCCCAAAATGTTAATAAATTCTTTAAAATTAATCCCTTAATATATCAAACAAAAGAACCTATATAATTTCATTACAAGATACTCTTAAGAAATAAACAATAATATCCCCCTATAAGTATTTTAAAATTGCATCCCAAAATCACAGCTAAATCCATCACTGCCTCTTCTCTGTAGTCTTATAAATTTTCTTTAGTTGTTTCCAATCCAATTTCCGCTTTTACAGCTACAGACCACCACGATCTTTTAATAAAAAGCAACCTCCCACTAAAATCTAATCTAAAATTTTAAATTATACTCACCTTAAATTATTCTGCTGTCCAGATGGAATGACGCTATAATAAACGGGCATTCCTGATGTGGGGAGTCCTTGGTTTGACTGACTGGGAATAACCACTGGCTGCTGATATGTTTGTTGGGACAGTCCTTGGGAAACTGGAGCCATGGAGACCTAAGAATTAGAGTATGTCAGGATCACTAATAGTGAGCAGACACATATACAATGGCAGATTGTTCATATAAAAGAAGCATACAAGGCAACCAAAGAGTACTGAAGTCTAGTATCCAAAAAAGTATGTAAGAATCTAGCACAGTGGTTCTCAACCTTTTTAATGTCGCGACCCCAACCGGTCGTAAGTCGAGGACTAAACCGGACGTAAGTCGAGGACTAAACCAGTCGTAAGTCGAGGACTAAACCGGTCGTAAGTCGAGGACTACCCAACTGGGCGTAAGTCGAGGACTTTCCCTGCCCGGGAGCGCCGTGCATGTGTGGTTCCACCCCCTGTGCCGGCCGAGGCATAGCTGGCAAGCGGCAGAGACGGAGCAGGCCGACCACCAGCTGGCCCAGCCCAAGGGAGGTAAGGCACCCGCCGGAAAAGGGGCAAAAAATGGCGGACAAAAAAAATGGCGGACAGCCTTGCTTGGCGACCCCCATGAAATGGTTGATCAACCCCAAATGGGGTCCCGACCCACAGGTTGAGAACCACTGATCTAGCAGTTATGGCGACCCACTACAAATTGTACATGGATAGCCACAAAAGTGAATGTTCATCTGGATAAAATAATCTTTTTCAAATCAGAACTGGAAGAAAGGACAAAAAGGTTCTGAGAACTGTATTCAGCAAAGCTACTTATATTTTAACACTATCACATGGCTTACTTGATAAGATGGCATGGGAGGATATGGAACAAGTACTCCTTGAATCTGATTTCCAATGTTGTTGGGTTGGCCTCCAACTAGATTTTGGTTTTGTGACTGCTGGACACCAACTAAACCCTGGTAGTTTTGCTGCTGGCTAGGCATAACTTGGTAACCTGCAAGTATACAAATATTTAAGACAAGGATAGGGTAACATGACAGGGTAACATGAAAAAAAATTATATACCCAAGTATTCTTTAAATATAATGACTACACCACTTTTCTATGGGATACTTCAAAAAATGCCACATAAAACAGCAGAGATAATTTATGACTCAGTAATATTTGTGTGATAATGACCAAAATCTTAGCTGTGGTTTGCTGTGAATGACTATCTACAAGCTTACATTTATAACCAGCTAATCTGCCTACCAGCCTGATGTAGACATATAACCAACAATTTCATGACAGAGAGATGTTATACATCATATAGTCACAGTTATCTCTAGAAAACAGATTTTTTTTTAGCTAGGAACATTGTGTTAAGGTTTATCTGTAAAATCCTGTTTTCTGAAGAAATAAATTGAATTCAACTCCATTTTATTAAAGTTCATTTTCCCCATGTAAGATAACTAGTGCCATCTTGGAGTTTGCCTGGAACATCTCTTCCTATATTTTCATTTTTTAGTCTATTCATTTGTACTGTCTTGTGGATTTTCTGTTAGATTGGTGACCCTGTTCAAGGTAAATCTACCTACCTACTTTACCTTACTCTGTCTGTCTGTCTACCTACCTACCTACCTTCAGATCTATCTATCTCTCTATCTATCTTGCATCTTAATATTTGAAGTTTTTAACTATATATATATATATATTACTGTGATAACGTAGTGGTTAGAATGCGGTGTTGCAGGCTACTTCTGCTGACTGCCAGCCATCAGTTCGATTCTCACTGGCTCAAGGTTGAGTCAGCCTTTCATCCTTCTGAGGTCAGTAAAATGAGGACCCAGATTGTTGGTGGCAATAGGCTGACTCTGTAAACTGCTTAAAGAGGGCTATAAAGCACTGTGAAGCGGTATATAAGTCTAAGTGCTAAAGTGCTACTTATATTTTAAAATAAAGTTTTTTTTTATTTTGCTTCTCTCAGGTGAGATTATCTCTAGTGAAGACGGCCTGCACTCATTAATTATATCCCTATAAGTACATGGGCATGAGATCAAATTATAAAGCTTATTTCCTTTTTAGAAATGTATATCTCTTAATTGCCAGAAAGGCAGCACTGGTTGTGACTGTCCTATCTCACACAGGGGAAGGATACCATTTGAAGATCTCTGGAAGACATGTGGCAGCAAATGTTAAGCCATTAACACAAAGCAGGTGGTCAAACCAGAATGTAAAGGGATGTCAAGACTTCCAACAAATAATAACCATAACATTTTTCAGCTAAATACATTTGTATTTTATTTTCATAAGGACAACTGGATCAAAACTAAACTTATTTGTTGAACAGCGGTCAACATGCAACTTTATGTTCTAATTATGCCAGATAAGTAGAAATATCTATCAACTTCAGCTTCATCAAACCATAATTTGTTAGTTCTGATTCATGGCACAACATAACAGTGCTTTGCATATGTACATTTATGTGCTTGTCTGGCTACAGATAAATCATTTTTCCAAGACTCAAAATAGCCCTAAACATACCAAGAGTAGGAATATATTTTAAAGCTTAGGCTTTCTTCTAATTGTTTATCAGAATGGTAGTGGGAAGCCTCTTCAGCAAATCTGAAAATCTCCAAATTCTCATTGATATTATTTAAAAGGCAGCCATCACATTATATAAACATATCACATTTCTTCAGGCAGAATTGAACAGATTTGATTTTCTGCATTGTTTTAACCAGTGTTTCTTGATCTTGGTAGCTTTCAGATAGCTTAGTTGGCTGGGGAATTCTGGGAGTTGAAGTCCACACATCAGAAAATTGCCAAGGTCGACATACAACAACTTAAGAAGACTGAGAAGATGATCAAACTTAGGCACCTGTTTCATATTGAGAATGAGTTCTTCATCCAAGTCAAAGAAAAAAAAAATACAGCTACTAAGATGGAACACCATTGTTTTGTTGTTCAGTGGAACAAGTTTTAGTAAAAAGGCTTCACTTTTTCCACACAACAACTAGAAAATTATTCACAAGTCACTTGTTGGACAATCAACCAACCTCTTAAAGTTCATGTAAAGGAACAAAACATAACTTATTATGAAGATTAAGCTGAGTATAGATTGGAAGCCACAAGACTCTCTTGTGAAGAGAAAGAGGATTCCTTCCCAATAGATAGTCTTCTCTGAATTTTCTGGCAGTCAATCAAAGTTTATTACAATCCTAATTTTTGGCAGTCAAACAAAGTTTATTACAATGCTAATTGTAGAAAGGGTACAAAAGCCTTGCTCAGACATTCTAATTAACCAAAGAAGAGGGAGAATAAGGTCAATTTGTCATTAGGTTAAGAGCTGTTGAGGGGAATGTTTCCCAATTTTTTTTATTTATTTTTTTTTAAATCTACCACCAACATTTACTTTCATTTTGCCAAAAGGAATTAAGATGTTAACGGAAGAGAGCAGAGCTGGTGTCTTAGTTTTCACTCTCATCACTAGAAATGTTTAACACAAGAATAATGCTTTGAGATTTTTTAATCAGCAACCTTTGATTTCTGAATAACGGACTGACTTTTTTTTATCATTCCTTTTAGTCTTTTTTATAATTACTAATTCCTCTCCTATTAAATTATCTCTTCTTCTCACACCCCTTCCTTCCTTCCTTCCTTCCTTCCTTCCTTCCTTCCTTCCTTCCTTCCTTCCTTCCTTCCTTCCTTTGAATAAAAGGACACTTTTTATGTGAGAAGAATATTTGCTATAAACAAATGGAAATCAATTAATTTTGTAAATGTTCAATCCCACAGAATTTATTTGTTTGTTTATAACATTTATTGCCTGCCGATCCTATCACAAGTAACTCTGGGCCGCTTACAATCATGAAAGATAAATATGCTAAAAACATAAATAAGTTAAAAAAGCCAAATGCCACGCCAAGAGTCGGACACAACTGAATAGATAACATCATCATCCACGTTGTATCTTGTTTTACAAGCAATGTTTTCATTTCCCAGTGTAGCCTGCAGCTGTGGCTCTTCCTGCTGGTCTCCTATTCCAGTTACTAAAGCCAGTCTGATCTTGCATAAGTTTTTTGTAATCAGTAATGGTCCTCCACTTCCTAAAATCAGGATTTTCTTGTCCCTCTTTTTAAATAAACGACATGCTGGAAAAGTATTTGGCAATCCAATAGACTATGCAAAATAAAACAAATTGTTCTTGGGCACCAATTGCACATTAACATGTAATGGATGCATACACTAAAGTTGCAGAAGCTCTGCTATTTCAACATTTCTGTTTCTCAGGGACTGCAGTGTAGCTGTGAAAGTTATTCTGAGTCTTCTGGCACTTTCGCACTGGTAAAAAATCAATTTTCCATGCTGAGAGAAAGACTAAGACAATATAAATTGACTGCTAACATATTTCGCCCTGGGTTCCAAAGCACCTTGCTATTTTTAGCTGCACTCTTCCTCCTCAGCGTACCAAGAAACGCAGCATTCAGCAAGAAAAGAAAGAGAAAGAGCATCTGCTGAGACAGATGGTTATATTTTGCAGCCAGGTTATTAAAGAATGGTTAAAAACTGATGCTCAGAGATTACAAAGAATGAACAGTAGTTCTAGATCCTGAGTGTCCTTAAGGAAGGAAACGGCTCCCAGTATCCAAACCCACATATTATACATATATATCAGTTAGAAAGAGGCACAGCCTCTGTTAAAGCATTAAAATCTCAATCATGGCAGGATTCTGAAAAACAAAAGAACGCAGGACAAATAAAACAGACCACATAAAGACAAACACTTGTCTAAAATATTCCTGCCCTGGGCATTACTTTCCTGATACTTTCTCGGAGTATCTGAGGGCGAAGGATGAAGATCAGCCTTTTTTTTTTTTTTAAAGGGGGGAAAAGAACAGAACACAATCCTTGATAAGAAAGTCACAACTGAAGATAGATGCACCTGCAACCCCTTTACAAAGGAAGCCAGAAAGCAGCTGAAAAAGAGACCGGTTCACTGTGAGATATGTAACCCTCTCAGACAGTGTTACGGCCCCGAATCCAACAGCTCACGATAAAACCAATCTATTCTACAAGGGCTGTTTGTTGCAGAGACACACACAGAATTGTGCTCGGAATACAAGTGTTTTTATCACTGACTGGACTGATTATAATGCATTTTTCACAATCTTGTGATGTAAGTCTTGTTTATCCTTCTTATAGCAAATGTTCAATACCAACAGTTCAAATGTGATTTTTTAATTTTTTTTCCCGATACGCACACATATTTCAATCAGCATCTTTTCCAACGGGGTCTGCGTATTTTATACTCAGCATTGCCCTTCCCACTGCCCTGAAATCTAATGCTTAATCCAATTCAAACCAGATCTCCTTTGCTCAGTTTCCACCTATCTTAACTATGAATCCTCTGAATTCATAATTGAGATAGATGAAAACTGAGAAAACTGAGCACCCATCTGAGGGAAATGGGTGACTAAGAAATATAAATAAATAATAAAATAAATACAACTCCCAAAGGTTCCTGATTTGTGCTTAAGGCACAGGATACAAGGATGAACTTTTCACTGAATTTTGTCGTTATTTCAGCATTTGCTTCTTGAAAACAACCTCATCCCGACCTTTTGGTTAAAACACTTCTCCATAGCAGGCACAGATTAGTAATATCTGCACGATTCATGTAACAGGAAATATAGAATATTGAATCAAGTGATAAATATTTAAGTCCGATAACCCACTATATATTTGTGTCTCATCAAAAGCAATATCCAGGACTGCATGAAAAGATGTATCAGAAACCACACAGGAATTTTAATATCTATATAATGTATACATTCTCGTTAGCTACAAATACTTCATGACTGATGGGGAAAGGGAGAAGTATCTATAGAAAGAAATAAAAATTAGAATACAAACTATGGATCCGAGTCTAGATCAAATCTGATTTGTTCAAATTAAACAAACAAAACCACCTGAAACTGCAAGACACTGTCACACCACAAAAAGCGCTAATCACTCTAAACATTAATGAAGATAAATTCTGCAACAATACCAAACAAAAGCAAACAATGTAGACAATCAAATAATTTATGTCATTCATTGTTAATTAATAACTCCAAAAACTGCAACTGAATTAGCTCCCTTGATACTTAGTGTCAGGGTTACTATTGAAAAATATATGTCAGATTTCAAAGGCACGATTTTACTTTAGTTTTAATTTTATAATTTCATAAATGTATTAAAACCTCTTATCACCACTGAAATGCTCCATAAAAGGTTTTCTTTTAAAACGCACAAGCCAAATTATTTCAGATTCATTTCTGCTGAGAAAGCAAAGTTAATAAAATTCATTTTTTTGAAATTTATACAGTGCTTTGCAGGTCTCAAGTCCAGATAATTGCTGCAATGATTTAACAGACTCAGCAAAGAGCAAAGGCTCCTTCTTCAATTTTAGTGTGAAGTTATATAAAAGAACCAATTACTTGTATGTTTTCCAACGGTCATCCTGCTAGTTAACCATAATGAAAAACAAATGTCCATGTTGGTAAATGCAGGTACAAGACCTGATCACCTCTGAAGAGATAAATCAAGGCAACCATTTCTTTTTGGACAATAGTTTTATACTTTAACCCATTATCGCTAAACAAAAGCATCTAAAGCATATATTCTAATTTATCAGTCTAGGAAAAACATAGGGAGAATTAATAATGTCTTCAGAAGAATATTTATAAAAGAAGGAAAGGCAAACTGATGCCGATGTTCTGGACTGCAACTGGTATCATCCAAGACAATAATAACGGAAGAACAGAAGCTGCAGGTCAAACTGGAGGGGTATCAGTTGCCCAACCTCTTTAAAGCTTAGTTTCTGAGGCAAGGCAAAACATTTTGTTTCAGAAATGTTATACCAGAAAGCACAAGTTTCATGTGGATTTTAACTCAGATTTCCCCCCCAATTTATTATATATGGGGCTCAGTATAAGTTGTTCTTATACTTCAGGCATACAAAAACTAAATCATCTGGCATACAAACCTTCTTAGTTATAAAAGTCAATCCGTAACAGCATTAATGATTCAAATAAAAGCAGGAAAATATACAGGAGAGGCAAGAAGCAAATTTTTTTTAGCTTTGTATGATTTATATAGAAGACAAAGTCCAGCCACCAACCTCCCAACAAACAATTAAAAAAATCCCGCCAAAAATCACACCATGAAGAATGTAAGATCTATCTCATTCATTCAAGATCAGGTAAAATTTGTTTATAAAACTGATGGAAGAGAACAAATGCTAAATTATAGTGTTAGTTCTTTGATAAGAAAAAATATTTATTTCACTCTGGCCTTTTGCTGGAAATTATTTACAAATAAAGGTGATCAAAGGATATTCTGATATTTTTTTTGTTTGATTTTCTAAGCAAATAATTATCCTTTCGGATTCTGCCTCTTAGGATTTACTGAACGCAGTTAATTTAAAATATGCATTCCTACCAGTAGGAAGAATTTTGGTCACTTCAAACACAAATATGGGTGTTTTTTTTCTCTATAAAATATTTCACGCTACTTCTTCCTGCCTCACCTAGTCACCTGAAACAATCAAAGGTACAAGAAGTAAAGGGAGAAAGCACAACAAACCTGTCTGTTGAGCAGGCTGTGGCAGTGGCTGGTTTTGCTGTGTGTTGTAATGAACTGAAGTAACTGGCCGATATTGTTGACTGGAGTGTGGATACTGGCCTGGAGCACAGTAACAGGCTGGCATCTGAAAAAAAAGAAAGAAAGAAATATTGGGTTTAATGTATAAGAGACCCATGCATATGTTTCACAATTTGTCAGTGAGATATTAAAAAATATTATCAGCCACACAGAAAATTCTTAAATAAATCTCATAAGTTCTAATAACAAGCTACTTCTTTCTCAGAAAAAAAAATACTGCAAATACATAAAACTGACAGTGGATCCGCCATGAAATCATTATTTAATTATAGTCACAAGCATATAGTTCTTTTAAGAGTAGAATTGTTGAGTACAGCTCAATGGGTGTCAAGTTCTAATTTGTTAGTTTTAAATTTCTATAATTAAATGAATAAGCAATACATATTGACAACAAAGCCATAGTGTCTACAATAATTTATTCCGTGACGGTTTCTATAGATTTGTATACAATAAGGCAGCCCATGCAACCAGTGCAAGGTACAGGATTCATATGATGTTGGTACTAAAATACATACCCTGACTACTAATTACTACTGAGCACAGGTTAAGATGCCTGTCCTGACCTTAGAACTCTAAAGGCCTTAGGCCTGATTTTCTGCCAGGCTGCCTCTCACATTATAAACCTGGCTAGCTACTCAGAGCAGTAGGATATGTTCTTCTGAAGATGCCCACATTGCCAGACAGAGTCTTCTCCTTTCAGGCTACGGATATGCTTCCTAAGAATTACTTACTTAATACTAAGTAATATGGGGGGGGGGGGGGGAACGTAACAGGTTTTAATTTGGTTTTGATTTCAATTGCATCTAGTTATCCTTTATTTCATGTATTTTTTTAATCACTGTAAACTGAGTGTTGCAGTAAATGAAAAAAACAAAACAAAAAACCCAAACCCTATTATGGGCTAGCTAGGAGTAAACCAAACTGCGGGAACACCAGCTTCACTGAGTTCTACAAGCACGTAGTAGAAATATCTTGCTACCTGTGGCATTGGTTGCTGCATATATCCCTGTTGCTGAAGAACTTGCTGGTTAACAGGGTGGCTGGATCCACTGTAGTTAGGAGTAGGTTGGCCAGGTGGCGGCGGTGGGGGCGGCGGCGGTGGGGGCGGCGGCGGTGGGGCCGTTGCTATGATAAAACCAGATTGCTGTGGCGGTTGGAGGACTACTGTAGACTGGAACATGTTGGCATGAGGATCGGCAGCTTCTCCAGATGGCTGTCGGGAGAGACTCATATGGCTAAGTTGGGATCCTAGGTTGTCTTGCTGAAATAAGTAAAACAGTAACCAAAGGCATTCTTTAGATATAGAATGTAGAAGTTGTTTAACACCAAGGCAAAGCAAGGAATCACAGGGTTTAATTATGGAGAACTATTAAGCTATATTACCGAAAACTATCTTGGAAGTAAACACACAATCCTGCTATTGAACACAGGAGAGAATTACAGAGCTAAGAATCTAAAAATAGTCATACTGCATCTAAAGAAAGACTTAAGATGGCAGTACAGAATTGTTTGCCCCAAAGGTCAACCAGTGTCTTATTGGACAACCATTAGCATGAGACAGAGTTTAGAACTCTTTCCTGCTCTATTTCCCAGTGACTGGTATGGAAAACCATAGCCCTGTCATGCTAACCGAACACTTGTCTTGAATAGTAGACACTAATAGCTTTATCACTAGGAATTTGTCTAAAGCGCCATTAAAATCAATTTAAATGAAAAGCTGTTATTTGCCTACCTAGCTTCCGTTAAAATATCAAGCAAACAGCAAAAATGGCAACCAAGGGTATTGACATATGGATGACCTACCTTGAGACATGGATTAGATGTCTATAAATCTGAGGAATGCAGCTAGGCTGCAAAACTCAAAAAAACAATTTCTGGCACTCATCAAACATTAAAGCCCTGACAGAAAGCTTTCACTGTCATGGAAAATGAGATACCTTAGAAGAGAAAGATATAGAAGGGAAAAGAAAGAAGGGTATTTATATGAAACAAATTCAAAGGTGTACTGAATACTGACAGGCTGCACAAGGGTAATATCAGCAAGCACATTTTTTTATGTCAAGGAACCAATTATTTTTTTTAAAAAAATATCTTTTAGGCAAACTAGTAGGTAGACCAGCCTAATTCTTTCCGCTCAACTCTCTCTCTCTCTCTCTCTCTCTCTCTGTGCTTCTGCCAATAATGGGATTACCTTTGGAGGCTACAGCCAGTCAATATTTACATTTCACATGCACACTTCATATATTCTTTCAGCCTAGCAGAGAATCTGTCATGCAGAGAAAAGATGAGTAGAAGATAATATACCACAGTATATTGCTGGGTAGATGAGACTGGCAGGAGCGGGGGTGGATAAGTGACTGTGGAGAACTGAACAGGCTGTGAAGAAGGCTGAAGAGGTCGGATAGGCTGAAGGAGCAATAGTTGAACATAAAGCGTTAACAACGGAGTAAGAGGAAATGAAAGTAGGAATATTTCTTTTGTGTAAAATAAACATTTTTTAAAAAAAACAAACCAGAAGAGATCTTCAATATCAATTGTACAAATAAGTTTTAACGCAAGGCTCAGATTAATAATCAATCAATCAATAAACACTGGTTCAGCTATCAGTGGGAGAAGAGGACAACATTGTAAGATGGCAAGCTTACAATAATTTAAACATATACAAATCAAACACCCAATGGCTTTAAGAAAATGTATCTTCCTTCACCTATGCTTAAACCGTAAACCATAAAAAATAAGCAACTATTTGTTTAATCAAGTATAGACGGAACATTCGTATTTGATCTTAGCACCTGTGAGAGGATGTGATTGGTTGCTGGCTGTTGCTGAGGTGGTATGGGAGGTGGCGGCGGCTGAGGAGGTCCAGGCACTTGGTTTCTAATTGGTTGTTGAGGCATTGGAGGATTATACACAACTGGAGTGCCATCTGGATTAATGAATGGCTGACCTACAGGACAATTGTAAAATAATAACAACAATAATAATAATATAGCAAAAGGCAGCCTGCTAGCAGAATATAAATTAGCTAGTATTTTATTATATTACAGATAATACATTATTAGAATATCCAGTCTAAGTCTTATCTGGCTTGCTTATTTATTTATTTATTTGCAGCACAATTATATTATAAGCTGTCTTATTCACACATTGCTTCTTTTAGCAAATGAATCTGCAGCATAATGTAGACAAGAAGAAACAAGAAAAAAGTGCAAGAAGGAAAAAAAGAAAAGAGAAAAGAAAAGAAAGCCAAATGTAATACTTCACAATTCTACTAGTGTGCAATTTTAAACATTGGATGCAAAAGAAATTAAAACAAAAAATTCCACCGAAAAACAGAGTTTATAATTTTATTTTATTTTTTCAAAACATCACTGCATATCTACTCCGGGGAGGATTAAAATGCATAATACATCTTCCAAAAGAAAAAGAGAAAAGAATATTGGGAAGGGAAGGGCAAACGGTTCATGGAAACACGACACATTTCTAAAACATCGTTGTCAAGTCAGTTATTCGAGACAGAGACACAAAAGGGAGAGAGAAAGACAGACAAACTGACACCCACAACTGGATACCAACCTGTTTGAGGGTTGATCAGAATACTTCCAGGTGGTATGCCTGCCGCTTCCAAGGGAAGCAAAAAGAAGCTACCACTAGAAGACGCCACTTGCCCACTTATGCCACCATCAAAGGAAAGAGAGCTACTAGTGCTGATAGTTGGATAGACGGCAGATGTGCCATGAGAAGGCTGGCTGAGAGCTGTGACTGGAAGAGGTTGCTGGGTGTGAGAAAGAGAACCCGTGGATGACCCTACACTACTAGAAGACTCTGAACCTAGGAAAGGAGTAATGAGAAATGGATTTTACCTAGAGACAGAGTAACAGCATTCACATTTAAATAGGCAGGTTGCTATCTAACGTTATCCATGCAACTCCCAGCCTGAACTACAACAGCCTACTTCCCCAAATCCCACTGCAACTTCTCCAGGTTAGATTCCCAACTACTCCAAATGCCACACAATGAGGGAGAACTAATGACCAGCTGCCTGAACTTTGCCTTGGAGCCATGCAAATGGCAATAAAGCAGGACGGCAACAGTCTTTATTATTATCAATAATTACAACAAATATCTATTCAATGAAGTATCAGGTTGAGATGTTGGAGGCAACTGAAGTGTAAAGTAGTATTCAAAGGACCCATATCTACAAAGCCCCATACATATACAAAGCTGATGAAAAGTTGGGTCTACAGAATTTTAACTTGCTAGTATTGTCAACATCAAACTAATCTTAATGATTCCAGCGCTGGATTTAAATCTTACCGATTTAAATACATTAAGAATATGCGCATGTTTATTCCAAAATGGACTTAAATTTTAAATGTTTGTAGAAAACTAAAATTGTGTTTCTCTGATGAAACAGCAAGTTTTTTTTTTATTTACTGAGAAATATATTTGGATTGCCTTTTACTTTGTCTTCACATAACAAATAAAATACCTTATTTCTATTTTTTTATTGATATTCAAATCAATAAAAAGCAAGTCTTCTAACTTAAACATTAATAAAGGGCTTCAAATCAAAATGAAAGAGATTAGTTTGCTATACTGGTTGTACTCAACATTATAGCACAATTTTCTTTATATACTTTTTAAAAACCCTCCACTGTCAAAAAGCTCTTCTTCGTTAATATCAAATGTATATCTTCACAAGATATTCTTATCGTATCACTTCGGCTCTCACAAAAAAAGAGAACCCTATTTTAAGAATAAAGTTCTAGAAGAATCCTGCTACAAATTCCTTCAGGGGCAAATTTAGAGTACAGTATTTGCTCCCAGAAATTTCATAAACACTTTGAATGCTAGCCGTAAGTGAAATCCAGCTAGTTCTCTTCCTGCCTTCTCCCAAAGCAATAGAGGGGGGTGTTCATAATTCAGAAGAGAAGATTTTCTGCCAAGAGCCCAAAATTGCTGCGAAGCTGTTGAGCTTCTTTAAAACCCCAGCCGTATTTTACCAGTGTTTTTTTTTCCTTCTTATTTTCAATCATTATGAAAAAATGCCAAATTGGACCTACTGCGTTGTAAAATGAAGTAGAATTCTAAAAATTACAAATTCACACATTTCCTTGTTTTTTTTCTTCTTTGTTCTGTATCCTTAATATACTTCTGCCTTTAAGCCACCACAAATAGTCTCCCTATTTAAGCTGTGTTGTGCAGCTTGGAGGTGATTGAAATACTTTGAAACAGAATTTGAAAGTTGACTAACAGTACATGTCAAAAAGGAAGGATACAGACTTAACGCTCACGACACCTCAATGTGTCCAAATTCAGGGTCAATTAGACCAGTGTTTCTCAACCTTGACAATTTTAAGGCATGTGGACTTCAACTCCCAGAATTCCACAGCCAGCAATGCTGGCTGTGGAATTCTGGGAGTTGAAGTCCACATGCCTTAAAATTGTCAAGGTTGAGAAACACTGAATTAGACCATTCTTAATCAATTTCTTGTCAATAATTAAGGCCAAGCATGAGCCTGAAAAAGCTAGGCCAGTGGTGGCAAACCTATGGCACGGGTGCCAGAGGCGGCACTCGGAGCCCTCTCTGTGAGCACACATGCCGTTGCCCCAGCCTTGCTTCCCCCTGTGACCCCCCCTCACCAGCAGCCCTCCTGGAGAAGAGTTGCCCCCAAGCGTGGCCCACGTGGAGCAGTGCAGCCAAGGACATGGCAGCCAGGCAGCATAGACAAGACTCTGCCCTCATGCCCCATCGCACACAGTTGATGCTGCGGGGCGCAGGCAGAGGCCGTGGCTGCCATGGCGCTGCTGGGTGATCTGCGGCGGGCCCTGGAGACGGTGAGTGGCCCTGCGGGCAGGCGGGGTGGGGGAAGAGCAGGGGGTGGAGCGGGGTGGGGCCAGTTTTTGGGCACTTGGTCTCTAAAAGGTTCGTCATCACTGAGCTAGGCAGTCTTACAAGGGTCCAATAAAGAAGTATTTGGCAATCTATATGCATTGTCAAGTGAGATCCCAAGTGGAAATTTATTGCCATGTTTGGGGTCTTCCAAGTTCAGAAAAAACTGAATGCTTAAAAAGGAATGCTTAAAAATCCTACTAAAGAACAACATTTGATGAAATCAGGAGTTGAAATGAATTTTTTGGGGGAACAAAAAAGATCAGTAATGTAATCCCAATTCTTGATAATTTAATGTTTTTAAAAAGGATTTCAGGTCATTTATACCAAATTTGGCAACATTAAGACTTGTGGATTTCAACTCCCAGAATTTGTCAGTCAGCATGGGGAATTATGGAGTTGAAGTCCACAAGTCTTAAAGTTCCCAAGCTTGGACACCCCTGATTTTATATCATTAGAAGAAAATGATTGATAACTTTTTATCCATCAAAACGAGCCTAAAAGGTCATTTTCCTAAGAAGAAAAGGTCAGGTTCCAGCTCTCATCTGGATCCCCACCACTTTTGGTATCCTTAAAAATGTTCACTTGCTTGTGTTAATATGACTGAAAATTTCATAATGCACACTTTTGCCAGCAAAATTAACCCTTAAAAATCGTGCCTAATAACAAAACAATTTTACTTAGCAAACTTGATAAACCTCCAAAAAAGATTTGGAGTTCCGTCGAAGCTGATACAGCCTAAAAATGGACATAAGAAATAAGGATTTGCTTTTATTGAGTTAGAGTAGACCATAGATTCATCTTCTCCAATACTGCCTACTTAGGCTTCAGAAATATTGACAATAGGGAAATGATGGTACTGAATTTCAAAGTAATCCCTGATCAACCACAAAACATATGGGGCTACAACAGGAAGGGCATAATTGCCTTACTTTACTCACAGGTATGGAGTTATAAATCTCCATAAATCGTATCTAAAATATAGTGTAGAACTTATTGTTGGATGCATCTCCTGAAAGCAACCCTCCATTGCTATTCAGATGAAGGAATCTTTAGAGAATTTTAAGATTGCAGTGGCTATCTCAAAATCATTTTAGGAGACTAACTTAGGAGAAGCTCTCAATATTAATTAATACAGCAACTTCATAAAACATACCTGAAACCCTCTTGCAATGTTATAGCTTTAGTTACTGTAACAAAATTTTAATTCCCTGAAATGGCAAGCATGAGAGAAACACTGCATTTCCAGTCTCTCTACTACTTACAGTTGTTTCAACGTCTCATCCTGGTCTACTAGCCTATGAAGCTGACTGGGTTAACAGTGATCGAATTGCAGAAGATCAACAGCCACCAATTAGGCATGTAATGCATTAAAAGATGTTTTATTTATAAACAATTCAAAACATTGGTAGGATCAGGAATAGCCACAGTCCTTTCTGGTCTATTCAAAATACTACCAAAGGTGTGTCTAACACTTAAGTGATTATAACTCTGGGCCAAAGAAGCACTTTCCAAAAACTGTAACAATGTTGGGTGGGCAGGGGGTGCTTTTTGCAGGCTACCTAGCTATCCCTAGACTTGGGTTTTCCAGTGGTACCTGTTTTGGATAGCCTGCCAGTGCTTTTGCTGCTTCCTGTGCTATCGCCTCTTGTCAGAACAGAGATCCCACTGAAGCTGCTGGCTTTGGTCACAGGGGGCTTCAAACTGCGAAGAGAGCTATCCGAGTCTGTGCTGCTCCATGGACGGGGTTCTGAGTACTTTAGCTCGTTGTCTGTACTGCTCTGGAGACTGTTTGCCGACCTCCCTGAAGCATCCTTGTTGATTCTGTAATCCACAAGGTTAGTTTTTAAAGATGGAAGACTCTTTGCCAAAGCATCAAAAAAGAAAAAGAAAGAAAGAAAAGGAAATATGTGCAGAATGCTTTGGGATTTAAAAAACTAATTCATTCAGTACCTAAATATCTGTCGCCTTTGCTGGGTACTGTTGGCTTCATCCTCTTGAATTCTGTTGGCGTGTTCAATAAAATTGTAGCTTAGTACTTTCTCTCATTTGTATTTAGAAAAAAAAACAAGCTTTTTTTTTTTATAAAATAATACTGATTATGCTTACCTTTTGTCAATAATATAATTCTCTTGGGAACACAGCGACTGGGGAAGAAACAATGTAGAATAAAAATCACCCCCATTAAACGATTCTATCAGCAATCCATATTGAAATAAATGTATAAACACCTAGGTGGAAACAACAACTGGTAACCAGTTGCAAGCAATTATTAAAGGAAGATTACCAAATCCTTCAGCCAGGCTAATGTGATCATTCAGACAGGTTTTAAATATAACAAATGGGGAGAAAAGAAACAAAATGTAAATGCTAGTCAACAGAATGTGCAGGGTCTATGACAATTCACCAAGGCCAACTTGCCATGGGACAACTCGTTGCGGGATAAGAGTTACACTAATATCAAAGAAATGGTGGAATAGAACCTTTAAAGAAAGGATGTAAAAGTAGAGGCAGAATGAAATGTGAATGACAAAAATTAAAATAATTATTTATTTTAAATCACTGAATTGTTAAATTGTCCTACGGCGAGTTTGCTGGTGGCCAGTTGTCCATAGCGAGTTGTCCTGGGACAAGTTGGCTGTGGGAAATTGGCTGCATCAGATTGGCCATGACGAGTTGTCTGCGAGTTGTCTCGCAACTCACCATAGCCAACTCACCACAGCCATCAAGGGTATGACTGTTCTCTGTTGTAGAGAAACAGAGGAAACCACAGCAGGATTTATTACTCTTTGTTTCACTATCTTTTATTTGCAAGCTAGGAGAAAACAAAGCTGGACAAACAATTTTTGGGTGTACTCTTAATTTTAAAGTTAATTTAGAACCTGTCAACCTACCATCTCTGAGCCTTGGCTGCTGTTCTTAGAAAATGCAAAATTACCACAATATGAATGATTAAAACAAGTATATGACTATCACCTGTATAAACAGATGCCCAGACTTTACAACACCCATGACTAACATAATTGTTATGAACAATCTCTCCATAAGAACGGGAAACATTTTAATTAAACAGTATCTCATAGGAGGAGATAAATATCAGTGATACTATATCTATATCATCATCATCACTACCCCCAGCCTAGGGCTGAGAACCAATCTGTTGCTCTATCCACTACTTTATAAATGTTCTCTTAATGCAATCATGAATGGGAACGCAGAGACAATTTTTCCAAACATTATGAGCACTTTAATTATGCACTTTAACTTTATTGTTCTTACACATAGTCCAAGATACTGTGGACATTCCTTAATACCTACATCTTGTGCAAATATTCGTTCTCTAGCTCTCTGGTACTCTTCTTCTCGCTCTTCTATAGATTTGCTTCTTCTGTCATCTTTTAATCGTATTCGCATCTAAATTAAATAAGTTGTTAATTGCTGATTTATATTGCGCAATATAAGTATGCAGTCAAGATACTGTTATGTTCCATATTTACCTGATTATCATCTTTGTCTAGACTAGAATTCTCTCGTTTAAGGATGTACCGTTTTTGAAAATCTTCACTTTTTTCATCTTTTATATGTTCGCAAAACTTCTGGTCAGGTCTTTTGAAAAAAAAAGATTAAAATAAAATAAATAATTATAAATACGAAGGAAGTTTTTTGTGGTCCTTAGGTTTGAGGAAAATAAAATTGTAAGATACATGTGGACAACAGGCCATTTAGTGGTACAAAGGTTATCAGAATATCTTGTAGGTTTTACTTTTCTTTCACATTGGAAATCTATGAGGAGAATCTGATACCGACTTTGGAGCTGCTACATCTTGATTTGTCATTTTTCCGCTGAAGGAATCGTATGTGTGTTCCGATGCAAGGCACCGAGTTAACGTACCCAGCAGTTAACATATCCAAAGTTACTTCAAAGAAATATAAGGTTTAATGATATTTAATAAAAAGATGGGAGAATGGAAAAGGAATTCAAATTTTAGAATTTGTTTCATTTTAAGTCATTTTCCAAAATTGCCAGACTTTATCATATCACTAAACACAAAAGAATAAGTCCACTTGATTGTTACATTTCCAACTATTTTTAGAAAATTAATTAATTAATTATTAATTCACAAAAATAAATGTTTAATAATGAAGCATAAGGTGATAAATCTGGGCTAATTCTGTTTTCAATGCCTTACTTTTGATATACTGTTTATTACCCCATTTTTTTTAAAAAAAACTTTTTTTCTGTGGATTCTTTAAATTTTGGCTATTACTGAAAGACATGGAAGCAGAGAAATGAATGTTTTAGGGGCAAAGAAAGATTTCAGAACAAGCCTGTACATGCCTACAGTTGTAAAGTCCTATTTTTAATGAAATAATGAGATACTTTTAGCTTTTAAACATCCAACTTCCAGGGTACCAAGAAACTTTCGTAAATCTTTTTCAAGGTGTTAGAAATAATGATGATTGTGGTCCATAAAAACATACAAAATTATATGTCCTCACACACTTGTTACTTGAGAAATTTGCAAAAAAGCAGGATCAAGTTTCTTTTTAATTCCCGAATTGCATTATAAATGACGAAATAATTCTCAAACACTACCTAAGAATTGTTGGATGCCAGAATGTAATTAGCAGGCACTTCGGAAAACCTTTAGACTGTCTTACCTCATTTTTTTCTTAAAGGTCCCTGAATTTACTGCCCTGCCATCACCACTCCACTCCACTGAGTCGTCCCAGTGTGCACTGGGTTGATGATGTCATTAACAGCACAGACCGGCACTGGAGCGGGGAATCTCCCTATGAGGAAAAGGTAAGTTGGGTTTTAGATTGCCAAGGTTTTCTAGCTAAATTCTTATTTTAAATCCCCTGAGATATAAAATAAGAACACTGAAAACCTTTAAATAGTTTACATTGTCTATTGGTTCAAGGAAATGCCTGCTAATTATACTTGGGTCTTCCAGATTCTAGCTGAGATTGTCTTTGCCATGAAAGTATTCTAAATATAGCTTGTTCTTCAAAAACTTCATCAACAGCTGCTACAATGCTGTTCCCAAACCATCTCATGCAGAGGGTTTAACAAATGGATGCAGTTATCCACTGCATCTGGTTACATTAAATTTTAAATAGAACTTTTGGTCCCCTAGTTTATTTCTCCAACTAAGCAGCAGGGGGGGGGATGGGTTGGGTATTGAAATACGACACAATTAATGGAGTACTAAAATGGAATCACTCCAAGTAGTCAGTAATTACCAGATTCTGCTTTTCTGCAAAGTCCAATTTAGCTAATTAAAAAAAAAAAAGACAGAGGCAAAACTTCTTCCTCTACTGTGATAGCCAGTTCATATGCTGGAGGTTGGTTTTTTTCCAAAGAAATGTGTTTTTTTTCTAGAAGCAAATTACTGTAATTCAGAAATAATTTTTTTTACACAATGAAAACAGGATATATATTTTAAGAGGTATAATGGATAGATTTTTTTTTCTTTCTCCAAATCGAAAAGAAAATTCTGTAATTGTGATTCTTACAGAATTAAGGATAATTTTTCATGCAGAGATACTGTAATTATCCTGCTTTAGTCATAAACTCAAACATCCATTACTGATGGAACTCAACTCAATGACAAACAAACGAACAAAGTAAGTAAGTAAATAATATTTAAAAAAAAGAACAGCAACTTACATTCTGGTACTGCTCGTTTTATTCACGATCACTGACTTCCCACTCTGGTCCACGTTGTGCTCCAGGCCGAAATAAGCAGCTACTCTGTGCAATAACATTCTATGGTACGAGGTCATTGGGGGGAATTTTTTCCGTGGGATTCTGAAAAGAAGCAAGTACTTTTTAGGCTGACATAAGCCTCAGGTCATCTCCTATAATTATACATCGTCCAATGACACTTACTCATTATTCCCAATGAAATCTAAGATTTCCTGTTCTAATTTCAGCAGCATCATTCTGTCCCTGGAAGGCAAAATGTAACATTCGTTAGTGGGGGAAAGTAGGACATACTTTCAGAGCCTGTAAACATATTAAACCAGTATATTCTCTATAATAAAAGAATTATACCAAGTGTCTGCTGAGGAAAAACCCAACAATATTAATGATTGGACAGTACTTAGCACCTCCTTTGATTTCAAATAGCTTAGGTGGCTCACAGGAATAATCTGCATTGTTTTGTCTTGAGCAAGTTAAGATTCACCAGAATGTTGTGGGGATAAAACAAGGTCCCCTTGATTAACCCCATTCTGTCAACTGTAACCCTATCTTGCGTAAATGAATGCTTATTAAACAAATGTACAGAGAGATTTCACTAAATCTTCTAACAATGAGTACTATTGCTATGTTACTTGGTCGCCATTTTATATTTACATATTGCATATTTAATGAGATTTTTTTAATTTTGAGGGTTTATTTTTTTAAAATATGCCATGATAATCACATTGTTTGGATAGCCTTATAGTTCTGAAAATAAGTACGTATAGTTGAACAAAATGGGACATAGGCTCAAATGATGTAGAATTAGATATTAAGAGCATAAGCCCTTTAGCCTTATGAGAAGCAGTCCTTATCTTAAGGACTGTACCTAAATAAGAAATTAATTTATGGTATATATTGCATCACTCTTGATGTGTGTCTGTGAGAGGGGGGGAGAGAGAAACCCATCAGGAAAAATTAATATAACTCATTTTCGGTTCAGATTAATTAAAGGTTAATTAAACTCTGGCATTAGAATAAGAAGTCTATGTATTGAGCTACGGTAACCTTAAAATCTGCAAAAAGTAAAATTTGACCACAAGAATGTTTATCGTTTTATGGCACAGAAAAGCAATAGGCAAAAATTGTTTGGAAAGAGAAGGGTTTTTTTCCCCTTTAAATAATGAGTAAAAGTGCAAAATAGGAGTCGGAAGGTATACTGGATTAGTTCCCATCTTGAGTTATTTGTAAAAATAATAAAGGTAAGATACAAATCAATCAATCAAATCAAATCAAATTGTAGTAGCACTGATTGCAAAGCATGAATATCTGAATGGGTAAGGATAGTTGTGTGTGAGAAACAGAAAATTTGCTATAAATAGATGAAGTGTAATTTAGCAAATAAGGTGACTAGACTAGACTAGACTTCTTTATTGGCCAAGTGTGATTAGACACACAAGGAATTTGTCTCCGGTACATAAGCTCACAGTGTACATACAAACAGCAATTATTAGGTCATAGATCATAAATCATAATTACAATGATTAATCATGTTACAAACAATTGATAAATCACAAGATACCAATAGGATAAGGTAGTAGGAAAGATAAAAAGAAATGAGGCAGTGCTGTGGGAATTAAGTGTTCAGCAGAGTGATGGCACGGGGGGGGGGGGGGGAAACTATCTTTGTGTCTGGTTGTTTTGGCATGCAACGCTCTATAGCGGCATCCTGAGGGGAGAAGTTGTAATAGATCATATCCAGGATGTGAGGAGTCTGTAGATATTTTCTCAACCCTCTTTCTGGTTTGTGCAGTATACAGATCCTCAATGGAAGGTAGGCTAGTTCCAATTGTTTTTTTCTGCAGTCTTAAGTATCCATTGAAGTCTGTACTTGTTGTCTGTTTGGTTGCTGTGCAATTATTTTACAGGTAAATAATTTTAATTAGCAATTATTAAATCATTTAATGTGTGTGTTTGTCTTGGCCCTAGGCTTTTTGGCAGATGGGTTCTGAATGATATGTATACTATATGTGCATAAATAGATGACACACACATTTATTACATGGGGCAGATATGCTGATTTATTACATGGGGCAGATATGCTAAGATTGCTTTTCAGCAACTCCAAAGTTGACAAGATGGAGAAGATGGATTTTGTCTAAAAAAATTTTTTTAATCTCTTCTTTCAGGAAGGTGGCCACTACTGAGTTAAATTCAAAGCAGTTTTCCTCTCAGGAAGAAATAGCAATAGCACTTAAAACTTATGTACCACTTCATAGTGCTTTACAGCTCTCTCTAAGCGGTTTAGAGTCAGCCTATTGCCCCCCAACAATCTGGGCCTTCATTTTACCAGCCTCGGAAGGATGAAAGGCTGAGTCAACCTTGAGTGGTCAGAATCAAACTCCTAGCAGTGGAATGCAGGGCTAGTCTGCAATACTGCATTCTAGCCACTGTACCCCCACAGCTCATATAGGTAGCTGTATCATATATAAACACTTCAAAATGCCCAGAATTTCTTTCTAAATTCCATGGCAACCAAAACATGGAAACAAATGACAGAAAAACTAGAGATGTACTCAGTGCTTTTTTTCTATTAAAAAAAAAAAAAAAAAGGTGCCGGAACTCACACGTCATACAACTTGCCTTGTCTACTCTACAAGGTTCCATCCAAAAAAGGTGGTGGAACTCCGTTCTGGGCGTTCTGTGAGAAAAAAAGCCCTGGATATACTTAAAAAAAGAAAAAAGGCAAATTGATTGGTTTCTGAATATACCAAGGAAGTTAAAAAAAAAAAAGCTATTAAATCAATAAAAATACCTCCAAAAGGAAAGCAAGTATTCTTGTCTATCTCACTAGCCAGGAACGAGGAACTTGATGCCATCTAGATATACTAGAGTAGAGCAGGGCTTTTCAACCAGTGGTACGGGTACTACCTGGGGTACATTGGCACCTGGTAGATGGTACGCGACCATCCTAGAAAAGTGGTAGTGGGGGAGGGGAATGAGCTGAACCGGTGGCAGCACCGCACAAGCCTGAGCGAGAGATGGCTGGAGCTGCAGGGCTGTCAGGGCTCAGCGGAAGCGCCAGGATCAGTGTCGCTTTCCAGCTGATCAGCGCTTCTTTGGGGCTGTTAGGCCTCAGTGGAAGCGCCAGGATCAGCACCAGGCTCCAGCTGGAGCTCGGTGCTGATCCTGGTGCTTCTACTGAGCCCTGAAGAAGCACCAATCAGCTGGAAAGCAGCACTGATCCTGGCGCTTCTGCTGAGCCCAGAAGAAGCGCCGATCAGCTGGAATATTGCAGCATCTCCAGGGTCTTGTGATTTACATTCAGATGCTTGGCAACTGATTCATATTTATGACAATCACAGTGTCCCAGGGTCATGTGAAGTGACCAAAACCTGCTGCAACCACCCAGCAGACGGGGGGAATAAAAACCAAATACCCCCCACCCCTGGTGCCAATCCTCAACAGAAATGCTCACAACAATGAAAACCTTGGACAGGAGGAAGAGCGCCGCTGGGTGCTGTCTTGCTCGGCTGTGGCTTGGGGGGCACTTTTTTCAGTGCCATTGTAACTACGAACAGTCACTAAGCGAACTGTTGTAAGTCGAGGACTACCAGTACTTTATCACTTTTTTCCTTTTTTTTTTTTTTTGGTCATCAAGTTTTTGACACCTTGCTAGGCGACTGGTGGTACTTGGATGTTGCCATATCCTAACAGTGGCACAATGGGTGAAAAGGTTGAAAAGCCCTGGACTAGAGAACTTCTTCCCTCCCTTGGCGAAGATAAAGGGTAGATTAGGAGTAAGAGTCCAAGATATTTGGAAGTTGTCAGTATTGTCTCTTCCTGAACTCAAGATTACTTTGAGAAGAACAAGCTGCATGGACACAGGATTCTAGTGAATTGCTAAAGTTCAGATATCTGCGGTGGTCTGTCCCCAGGTACTGGGCCTTATTTTGTATGGTTGCTATCTTATCTGAATGCAACATAGTGGTTTCCTCTGAGAGAAGCAAGGGATTGAATTAATAGCTTTAGTTTGTTCTGAATTCTACCTCTAGCTGCTTCTTTTGGCAAGAAGTTATACTGCTGTCTTTGGATGAGTCATCAACCTATCATGTTACCATATCAACAAACCACAGGCAGGCAATGATTTGTAGCTGCACTGTTTCAAAGGAAAAAAAATAACATGCTCCAGGCAAGTTTGCAGCCAACCACAATTGCTGCCTTTGAATGCAGTCATGGCAACTGATTTTACCTAACGTTAGAAAAAAACAAACTAATATCATACACTTCTGTTTAAAGCTATTTCCCACAATCGTCAACACAATATTGATCATAATTTCTGGTGCAAACTTCAGTTAACGTAAAATTGAATAAAAAGCTCCCAGACTCTTTCCTCACAACTATACAAGAAGCAAAGAATCAGCACCTTCTCTTGTGACTTTGTTCTTGTTGTGCTCAACTATAATTTGGTGTGAATTCTAAATACGGTTACTGTAGGTCATGCTTGCATAAAGTTAAACCTCAATTAAAAAGATTTCTGAAAGCATTCCTGCATTTAACAGTGCTTTGCTATGCACAACCAAGAGAGCTTTATGAATGCATTAAAAGGTAAAATAAAAAATATTAGGGGCTCCATCATTTTGAAAAAGAATGTGCAGAACAATATGAGTTCAAAGGTTTTTAATAAACTATCCAATAATAGAGCAAAATGTACAAATAGACCAAAAGAAAATGAGTAAGAAATTCTGTAAATAATATATACATTCATTTCAACATGAACAACATCATTGACACTTGTTTACCTGGGATTGTTTTTCAATGTATTAACTAAAAACTCGTGTAGATCTATACCAGTTGAATCCGTATACTCTTGACTAGAATCTAAAAGAAAAATAAATCCACAGTTACAGAGAACGTGTTAATTCTTTCAATGAAACCAAGCCATTAATATTTTAAGTTTACACAATAGCAGCTAGGATGACAAAGTCTGAAAGTTTAATGTCAGCCCTGGCTTGGATAGTTGATTGCTTCTTTATCAACAGAAAATGTGAGGGGGGAGTGAGGGGAGGGAGAAAATCTCTCTTACTTTTGCCTCCCTATCTTATAGATCTCTCAATAATCCTTCGGATGGTGAAGGACTGTAAAACAAGTGAGCAAGCCAGGAGAATGGGTCTATTTTTTTTCATTATGTCAGGCCCATTTTAGGGTTTATTCTGCAATATTCATGCGTTTTGCATTTCAGAGTAGTGGAAAAGCGGTCTGTTGGTTTTCAACAATATTCCCAAAGTTCCAACGGTGGAGTATGACCTGTATGTTGTCCTGAACCACAAGGTGCTCACCCCACTCGGGAAGGAAGTTTGAAATAAAACATATGAACATTAATCTACTTACTGAAAGGGAAAAAAACCCACTTAAGCCAATGTGTGAAATTCATTAATGTTGACATTTCTACCTCCCAAAAGATCACATTTCAAAAACGTCTCACGTCTCACATCAGAAATCTTATATACATGATATGCTAGTCTTCTGAGTTTGCATGTCTTCCTTTTTAAATTGTTGTTGTTAGTTGCGAAGTCGTGTCTGACCCATCGCGACCCCATGGACAATGTTCCTCCAGGCCTTCCTGTCCTCTACCATCTTCTGGAGTCCATTTAAGCTCACACCTACTGCTTCAGTGACTCCATCCAGCCATCTCATTCTCTGTCGTCCCCTTCTTCTATTGCCCTCAATCTTTCCCAGCATTTGGCTCTTCTCCAGTGAGTCCTTCCTAGCACACTCCAATTACTTTTGAGCATGCAATTTCCGGAGAAAACTGGGTCTAAGATAGCCTAACTGCACAGCTAAACCAACTCTGTATTTGACATGAAGATAAGGGGATTATATACTTTCAGTACTAATTAGGCATCTCTGGGAGATTCTTCCGAGAATAAACTTACCAATATATAAAGAAGAGGCATTATGATAAATACTAGCAACCTGCAGGTTTTTTAAACCTACGGCCCAAATCATGTACCACTAATTTAAGAAGAGGATAATGTATAGCAAACCTCTTGATAACATTTTCCTGGGTAATTTATCAGACTTCTCCTTTTCAGCTTCATCTTTCGAGGGTTTCTCTTCCTTTTCAAATAACTGTGTTAACTGGATCTGATTTTTTTCCTGTTGAAAAGTTGAAAATTAACAATTTTTTCCCTCAAGAAAGGTATCCTGTAAAGAAAATGGTGTCTGTTTAAGTAGTCTACAGGCATAACATCAACGAAAACCCTGACATTTGGCTGCAAACCGAAAGGCCAATCTGAAATAACTGATTTTGAGCCTCTTAAAATGCAACTCCCTTAAGTTCATATGCCTGGGAAATGGACAAATGATTCAAGAAACAATATTGCTATTATTTCCTATAAAATTACCCCCAAGCTAAATTTTCAAAGAAAGTTAGCTTCCATGCAATATTTGAACAATAGCATAATGGGAGGCAGGTGAACCTTAAGAACCACAATTGATGTTTTGAAGGTACAGGCTCCCACACTTCTTTGCATTTAGCTGGGAGGAGATTTAGGTAAGATTAGTTTTGTTTTTATCATGTGTGAACAAGAAATAAACCATGATTATAAGCCAACTGAGAGCAAGTTTGCTGTAGTGGTTAAGGCATCAGGCTAAAAATCAGGAGTCCCAAAGCCAGCTGGGTGACCTTGGGCCAGTCACTCTCTCTGAGCCCTAGGAAGGAGGCAATGGCAAATCATTTCAGAAAAACCTTGCCAAGAAAACTGTAGGGACTAGACCAGGTAGTGACCATCAAAACTGACTCAAAGGCACACACACACACACAAAGACTGATTAATTTGAACTAGGCATATCTAATCACTAACCAGAACTTGTTTTTAATCTTCATTCATAAACAATAAACCAGCTTTCATGAAAAGTAAATCTAAATCTAAATTCCCTGGCAAAGAAGATGTCTAGGAACCAGATGGTTTCCTTGGGTTTGGTCCATCTCCAGAGTGTATTCCAATGCCAACACTAAACAACGCTTAGTAATAAGATGCAAATCACTTTGAAATATCCTTGGTATGTTGTTTAGGTTGCAGTATCTCACAAAACAAAATCAACCTTAATAATTTAACTCTAACTCAACAAGAAGTACAGTCCCATTGAGTTAAATTTGTGCACTGTTTTCTCTTCATATCTTATCAAATCTAGCTCAATGGGAATATGCTTCTTGTAAGACTGAACTGCAAGCCTCCACATGTAAGAAAAGTAATTTAAGCTTCAGAGGCGGCAGTGATTTTTTTTTCTTATCTAACAATTATTTTCGTATGTATATTTGCTAGTTAACTTCTTCCAATTATCTGAGATTTTTATATTATTATATTTTATATTATTGTACAAGACAGTTTTTGCAAAAATCAGTCTCGGCATAGCATTTAAGTTAAACAAGTTGAGGAGTTCTATAGATGGCAAAGACCCCACACTTTGCAGAACTGAAAATGATTCTGCATTGTGAAAATAAGTACAATAACCAAGGTAACTTCCCTTTTTCCAATCCTGTAATCCCTTACTTCAGACCAGAGTGGGTACATGCTATAAAAATAAGGATTCGCTTACACAGATCTGTTCTTTAGCCTTTTTGTTGTTTTCAAATAGGTAAATATGAAATAGAGATAGTTAAGCAACATGACACATCAGTTTCAAAATGTATTTCATTGCATGATTAAACATATTTTTATCTTGAGATAATTGGTTACATTCTTAACTTATAATATTTTAATGGTTTTATTTATCCCAGAGCTTTTCTAGGTAGAACTTTGCCACTTTGATTTTTGTGTCACCTGATATCTGTTTTAAGAAAAAGTGATTACAACCTACAAATGAAATCTGTTAATGCATATGTTAACAACAGAACAATAAAATAATATCTTCAGTTTCCAGCGTCTTTTGATTAAGAGTCAGTGCTATCACCAGAGATAATGCATTCAAGTTGAGAAAGTTTTTTGAATCTTACACCCATACATGAAACTGAATGAAACCAAAACCAACACTGAAGATCATTCTTAAAGAACTGATCATAATAAAATTACAAACGTTATGATGCACAAGTTAGCTATAAAGCATTTGGGAAGGCAACAGTTAGTATGTTTTAGAAATGATTTAGCTCCCAGTCAAGTTTATGGAAGAAGTAATTCACTCAGTCCATAAGCCAGGAATTCTCCATGCAAGCATCACACATTATTGTGGAACTAGCTCTACAAAATATTAATCTCTAAAAATATCTGCACAAATATTAATCAGATAATAAAGAATAGGCTACAACCACTCATTATTTAGTATCTTATTGCTTTGATATCTAGTAAAGGTATTAAGAACCATAGTTGATGTCTTGAATGTATAGGTGCCCACATTTTGCCCTCCTCCTTGTATTTAGCTGGGAGGAGATTTAGGTTAGTTTTGCTTTATTCAAATGATGGTTATCATGTGTGAACAAGAAATAAACCATGATTATAAGCCAGATGGGTGACTGAAGACAATACTATGCTTAAAGATTACATGAACAGTTTTGCTTTGTCACAACTTTCTACTTCACAGTCTTTTTTGTTCCTTTACAGAGTCAAACACCCAGCAAGTCAGAAGACTTTATACAAACTGCCATAAGTCCATCACACTGATTTTCCCAAATTTTGGGGAAAAAAATGGACAAAGGTCTCAATTTTGACCAACCCCTCCCCCCTAAATTTCTTCCATGTGATGTCCAAGCATTTCATTTTGTCGACATTTTCATATCCAAATTGACATAGTTGCCTTTTTAATAATATATGTCCTAAGATTTTGTGCTGTAGCATCAACAAATTTGGAAACTAAAATGCAGAATGAGAAGAAATTGCACAGCCAATGTAAAAGTTTCTTCTTGGTATTTACACAAACATTAAGATTCATTGGGAATTTCATGATCTAAAATTTCTAGTCTATTGTATCACGGTTGTCAAAACATTTTTACAGTAAGGCATCATAGCTGCATACAAACAGCAAAAGGATTCCCTGTACTTAGTTCTCTAGAAGAACAGCAACTGGAACTTAAAATGATTATCCAAACTTTTCATAATCTGGCTTCCTCTAGAAAAAAATAAATACTAATTTTTACTGATCAGAATCTGAGTTTAATAAATATTCCAAGGTAGAGTACCTTATTTGTAAGGAAATAGCTGGAAAGCAAACCCTCGCTATCAAATAAGCGATTTTAGAACTTCTAATTGGCAAAAGGACAGACACCAGGAAGACATCAAGAACCTAAAGAGGAAGCTTATCTCATTTAAATGTGGTCATAGTTATGCTAAAAGGACAAATGTCCAAGTCTGCTGTTTTCACAGAGGAAATCTATACACTGTCTTTCAGTCCAAAGTGGTAAAAGCTATATTGCAGGCGCTATCCTGGCTACTAATCTGCTTCCAGATGCAATTCAAGATGCTGATTATCACCTTTAAAGACCTACGTGGCTTCAGCCCAGGCTATTTGATAGACAGGCTCTCCCCTATTGCATCTACCTGGCTCAACAGGACAGGAAGGCAGAGTATATTACAGGTCCCGATGATTAGGGATGTACATTTGAAGAGACCACATCATTTTAAAAGAAGAAATATAATAAGACCAGAAGGAACTAGATAAATTTACCTAAATGATTCTGGCAGCTTATAGTAGCTAAAACGATCCAATTTTAAAAAAAGTTAAAAACCAATATAGAAACATATGAAACATCAGGAACCGTTTAGAAATCAAATCATTCTATGCGACTGATTATCAGTTGCAAACATGGAACCTTCCCATGGTGAAAACTAACTTCCAGAATTCTTGGCCAAGTTAGCCATTGCTGATCATTCTGGAACCTAAAATCCACCCTCAGCTGCAGGGGACCTGGTTGTGGAAGGGTGGATATAAATCAGTGTTTCTCAACCTTGACAATTTTAAGGCATGTGGACTTCAACTCCCAGAATTCCAAAGCCAACAATGCTGGCTGTGGAATTCTGGGAGTTGAAGTCCACATGCCTTAAAATTGTCAAGGTTGAGAAACACTGATATAAATGAATAGCATAGGAAATGGTAGTTCTATAAGTACTCTTGCTTTACTGGAAATAGAAATAAACTTAAGGATGTCATTCAAAAAATATATGAGTATGCATTTTCTACATAATTACCCTGAAGCAATACCGATTAAAATAAATAAAGCACAACTGCACTCCAATATAGCTATATTTCATTTTATTGCTAAGGAAAATAAAAACACTATCGGTTGATCATTCAGGCCACTGGATTGAATGGCAGGTCACTCAATATTTAATCTTAAAATTATTTCTAGGCATATGAAAAATTAATCCTGGAAATCAAAATTATTATCCTGCCAAATAAAATGAGATTTCAAAAGTCCTATTATCCAGATGGCTTCTGAGAACATCTTGCTCAGTCAAAATTAACATCTCTTCAATAATCAGATGAATCTCAACAAGGTTAACCCAGTGTAATCTTTTTTTATTATACTTCATTTAGTTAAAATAATTTTCTAACATCTGTAATTATTTATCTGACACAGCACTTAAATACTAAAAATGCTGTCCTGCTCTTTTAAATGAATCCTACATATTCTTCATAAACATAATATTAAAATAAACAAATGCACATTATAAAAGCATACGACATCCAGTTTTCCATATTACTTTGCCAACTATCACCATTCTAATTTAATACTGGACAGAAAAAATAAATTAATTCTGATAGTGAAGCTATTCGAATAAAAAGAATATGCACAAGCCTTAACACTTTCAGGATTGGGAAGCCTGTGTTAAAACAATCAGTTTATAGTCAGTGGCTTAATACAACTTGGTACAAGAAAAAAAAAATGAACACATGCAAATTTGTATTTAGTAAAACTGCAACAAAGGTCTATGATACAAATGTATTCGCTCAGATAACAGCCACAACCTTAACAGATTTATATGTAGGACTCTTCTTTAGATATCATGCAAACTATACTTTGCTTTTTGTGAAATGCTGTATAGGTTCCCAGTGTTATGCCATAATGGATCAGGGGTTCCCAATCATGGCAACTTTAAGACTTGCGGACTTCAACAACCAGAATTCGCCAGCCAGCATAGGCAAGTTGCCAAGACTGGAAACCCTTGCCATAGATCACAGTTTAAAAATCACAATGCCTTGCCTATACAGCGTAGTAAATGAAAAACTAAATAAATCTTAGCATGATGTATGTACAAAAAAAAATTGGACTATAATTGATACTAGTGCCAAGGGAAGTTCGATTACAACATATGTGAAATTCAATCTGATTGATACCATTGCTTCAATTCTAAAGCTGCTGGACTGTGTAAGGCAATTGCTTTTTTTAAAGTTGTAGCGCCACATTTTGATACCAATCCCAGACATAAATATTCCAAAGTATATTATCTTTTAAACCACACAACTGAATGTAAAAATCAATCAGGAAGTCAAATGAGAAGACTTTTTTTTCATTATCTTGGGTTAGTCACACGGGATAGCAGATGAATGCAGAGGTGTACTCATCTAAAATATTTTACAATTGTTCAGTCAAATATTTAAAGTTCAATCATCAGTTTGTTGACATTCATACAGATTCACTAGCATGCTCCAAATAATACTGTCTTCTTGCATCCCACTCCCATCCTTCAAATCATTCCCAAACATTTTTACCGAACAAAAATGAAAGTAAAAGACCTCAGAACTATTTTATTTTTACCTGGATGTCCTGCGAAAGTTCAGCTGTGGGAGGTGGAGGAGATTCTTCACACACAGCCAGGCTCCGAACTAGCTTTAATTTTGTACTTGACTAAAGAAAAGTATTTATAATTAAAAACTACAGTTCACAGATGTTTTACTTTAGTTATCTTGCGGTCAGCTATAAAACAAAACTGCTTACATAAGGATGCCAACAACTTTCAACACACTGTAATTCATTATTTGGGAGCAAAAACACCCTAAAAAAAGCAAAAAAAAAAAATAGAAATAAAACTCTGATGCCAATTTAAGCTTTGAGGTCATCACAACATCAGCAAAAAGCAAACTACAGTTAATGAAAAAAAGAGGTAGCAGCAAAAAGCAGAACTATTTTCTCTGTCTAGCAACATCAAGCCACCAAAAATATAAAGGCCAAGCAAAAGCAAACAGTTAGGCAAATCATAAATCCAAAAAACAGAAAAAAATACACTTTGGTTGCCAACGAAAGAAAGAACAAAACTAATTTTCAATAAACAGCCAGGTTTCCGTCAAGCATGAAGACTACCTTAGCATGCCAGCACAGCACACACGTCTACTGTACCTTTGACCTTTTTCCTGTCTGTCCAAAAGACTGCACTGGCCGCTGAATGGTGAGCACAACAGAAGAGAATTTGCATTAAATTTCATGTACTGATTGGGTAAGGCATTTGGTGTGCACAGTAGAACGAAAGCAATTTCATGGTGATGGTTAATTACAGGATGATCCATCCCACAAGGAAATGCAAGAACATCCAAGACCTCGCTACTGAGATTGGACTTGCTAGATGTGTGTGTGTGTGTGTGTGTCACCAGGCCAAATCCTGGGCAACAGTTTTGCCTGGACACTGAAAAACTAGTGGACTTCAGAAACTGTTATGGTCTGTGAGACTGAAGACATTCCAACCACAGAGAAAAGGCTCCTGCTTCTCTACCTGTTCGTTTTTGACAGGTAAGGAGGCTGATAAAATTATCTGAAATTAAAATTTTAAAATATTTGCTCATCTGTGCCAACCACCATGGTAATGTCCAGTTTCTAAATGACAAGGCTGCTATTGAGCTGGGTCTTTTTTTTTACCTTTTACATCTTTCTGGAAAATAGACACAGTTTTTATCTCCTTGCGTTCTATTATTCAGTGATACCTCCATCTTTAGGGAGCGTTATTATGCTTACAGGTGTTGAACTAATCCATCCTTCGATAGGTTAAATTTACTGCTAAGGCTACTCCATTAGGCACAATTAGAGATTTAGAGCAGTTCTAGCACAATATGAAAAATGTCCTCAGGTGTCTTCCGTTTCGTGAACCGTAAAATCCCCGTCCTCCATTCAATTATATCTTTTCCTACTCCTAAGGGAAGAAACTGAAGCACTGTCTATAATATTTGTAAGCGATTTTAAGCACTTATAATTGTTCCCTCTGAACTCAGATTGCTTGCAAGGAAAGACATACGGAAACGTCATATATATACACTCTTGAATTCCACAGAAACAATGTGAAATAGCACTGTTCCTAGCAGTTGCTAAATAAAAATGTGGAAACCCACTCACTTATTCAAGAAAGTGTTAGATCCACAGTGGGAAATGGTTTCAGTCACATTTCCACAGAACAAAAATTAGGCATGATTTTCTCCATCTGTGTATTCTAATGGATAATCTATAAATATCTGTTAACTCTCCTTCCATACTTATTGATCCGCTCACACATAAGAGTTAGTGATAATACTAAAGCAGGCTTGTTAATAAGAAATGCTAATCAAAACTCCAAGTAGTCAGCAAGCTTGCTGAGTAATCCTGGGTATTAACCTCTATTTTAGTTCACACAAAGATCATTGAAAGAATAACTAAGAAGTACAGAACATTTTTCCTGAGTGGGCATGCAATTTTGCAGTATACAATAAAGAGGGGGGAAAAAACCCAAATGCTTACCTAAGCATAACATATATGATTATATCTTTTTTTAAAAACTCAACACACACAAGCATGCAGGCAATGAGATCGAGGATATCTCAAGACATCAGAATAATTAAAACCACAAAGAAATTGTTTGTGATTCTTATGCTAGATAAAAAGAATAGCTTCCTACTTGGGTGGACTATACTTATATTGTGCCACATCATTCAAATATGCATTATATAAGATGAAGATTGATGGTTTAATACTGCAGTCAGCAACAAATGTCCATAAATATTTGGATATGCTTCTTGGCATCTCCCAAAGGCCCTGTCTCTAATAATTAAATTTTATTCTGTTTTAAAAATTGAATTGAAACAGATGCATAGCTTCTAGTTGCTCTATCATCCTTCTCTTCCTCTCATTTCAGATGACCCTGTTTTCCGAAAAACTAAGGAAGTAGAAGTAGCAGGGAGCTTGTTTTAATCCAATCACACCAGCTATACCAACAAGCAAGCAAGCAGTTGCTTGAGATGTGGACAACAGGTCTGAGTAGGGCAGATGGTAATGACCTAGGGCAGGGGTCCCCAACCTCCAGTCCGTGGACCGTGGACCGGTCCATGGCATGCCAGCAACCGGTCCACACAAACAAGCAAAGCCCCATCCGTGGGATGCAGGCAGCACACAAAACCACGCACTCTCCGGTCCGCGGAAAAACCTCTCTCCACAGAACCGGTCCTTGGTGCCCAAAAGGTTGGGGACCTCTGACTTAGGGAACAACTCCATCTCTATTTAACAGTTGATTTGATCTAATGTATTGTTAGCAGGCTCTGCCTGAAAACAGAAGCTGACATTTTCAGTATGCTTATGATATAAAACCCTATGCCTAAAACTTAGCTGAAAACAAATCTAATTTTTTTTATAGACGACATGAAAATTATTACTGGAAATCAAGCCAAATATGTTCTTGATCTATGGATATTGGAGCAAACAAAAGCCCCAGTTTCTCTCTACACAGGAGAAAGTGAAGGATTTATTCGGTGTGCATATCAGCAATCTGGTTTCCTAGCCTGGTCTCCGTATTTCACAATTGCTTTAATGTGCAGCTCTCCCTAACATTGGTTTGTTAAAATGTGGCTTAATGAATAAACCACAAATCCCTGGGTCCCCACAATTTACAGGACATAAACATAGTTTACAAACCACTGTTTTAAATCACAGTCTTAGTGTGGCTTAAACTGAATATATAAATCAGGCCAGTGATCTGCTACAAGGGTCATGTTCCGACTGACCGAATCTGTCCCATTACAAGCAGATGAATTTAGCAGTCTCATACGGTGTTTCCTTGAAAATAAGACCAGGTCTTATATTAATTTTTGCTCAAAAAGACACATTAGGGCTTATTTTCCGGTTAGGGCTTATATTCGAGGAAATATGGTACTAAATGTGTCAGTCTGGCTGACGATTTTAACTGGGGTTTATTTTTGGTGTGGGGTTTATATTACGAGCGTCCTCAAAAATCATGCTACGGCTTATTTTCCGGCTGGGTCTTATTTTAAGGGAAACACGGTAGTACTGGTTCCATTTTCAATACTCTTTGAACATTCAAACGAGCAAAGGGATGTCATTTATAAAAAGTCATTTACTCCCTGGGGTAGACCACATCAATTAGATAAAAAGCTGAAAGTGCAAAAATGGTTATTTGATATCCTTTGCTTTAGAGAGGCACTACAGAAGACAATACGATGTTACTTCCACATCAACGCGAGTTAAAGAAAAAACATGTAAAAACATCGGTATTAATCTAGTAAATTCTGGAAAAAAAAGATTCATTAGCTCAGGGAACCAAGCGCCCTTCAGGAATTCATGTACGCATTCATATCGCACAAAAATATCAACTTGGATATAAAAGGAAAAATTCATTGGTGCGAATTAGAATATTTTTTTTTTTAAAAAAAACCTTCATTAATAAGAGGCAAACGCATTTAGAAAGAATCTCTGTGCCCAAAAGTGGCAGACAGTGTTATGAGTTCAGTAGACTTTTAGGGTTATTTATCATTTATTATTTTTTGAATAAAAGCAAAGTCAGATTGCAGGTTGAATCACTTCTGCTGGGCCTATTTATTAGACAAAGCTAAGTTCAGCTCACCCTTGCTTCTATAAGGCAGTGTTTTCCCATCTTTGCTGCTTTCAGAAATGCAGATTTTCAGTGCCCAGAGTTCTCAGAAGTGTCCATCTGGATTTCAGAAGTCTTCACCGGGAAAAGTTCTCATCAAACCACCATCAAAGTAGCTATTAAGTCGTGGGGTTGCCTCACCAAAATGATATAGTCCATCACTTGAACACAGCACTGCATATCTAGCTCACAATTACTGCAAGACTCAGAATCAAGGTTTCAAAACCAATCCTAAATCTTATTTTTACTCTATGTACTTGTCTTCGTGGGAAAAGACAGTTTTTAGCCATCAAGGCGGCAAATAATGCAGCTCCAAAGATAATGGCTCAAAACAATAACCACTGTCAAAAAATAAATGGAATCACTGAAAATGTATCTTGCCTGACGCCACAGCGCCCATCCGTTATCACAAACTTAAGCAGTCCCTTTTGCGTATAGTTATGTTAAAAAACATTCAGTGTTGACATCATTTAAAGAGAAAAATAACTCTATTCCAAACAGTCTTATACATAATGTACCTGCCTCTATGCCCAAAGCAACTAACCAAGGGAACACATTACACTAACTGTATAATTTATATAAGGAACACAGCATTTTGAAGGAGGAATTACATTTTTCACTTTGCAAATAATTTCCCCTATCAAGTAGGGACTTTTCTATCAACAGAAAACTGAAAAGCAAGAACAATTGCTTCTTTCAGAGCTCTTCATCTCAAGTGAAAATTACCTCTGAAATACGGTTTTCCCTAACAAGAACGCTGTGTTATCACATTAGTTAAAAAGAGGATTGGGCAAAAGAAATATCCAAGTGCCACAGTAATAGAGGTGAAAGGACCAAATAAGTTAATAACCACTTTTCACACAACTTGCTGGCATTTGTATCAGAATCACTAAGGCACTTTCGGATTGTAAAGATTAGCCGGTGACATCACCACTGCCCACGGGACGCCCAGTTGGGGGGCCTCCTTTCATGTCCCCAGCAGGAGCTAGAGCGAAAGACAGGAGCTCAACCCTGCCCCATGGCAGCACTCCGTCTCGAACATGGGCTTGCTAACCTCCATCTCAGCATCATAACCACGTGAGCCACCATATTGCCACTTTTCACATTAGAAATGCCCCAGGCAAAGCATATTTGTTTCTTTATGACAGTGGTTTCAATCGTTACAAGACAAATTTATACCTTGATGGTACTTCTTGATCACAGATGCTCCACAGTGCCACACTCCAACACTGAAGCTTCTCAAATATAGGAAGTCTTCTTTGAACATTCTATTTATTTATTATTTTATTTTATTTTATTTATTTTGGAATGCTTGGGGAAATTGTGTTAAAGCCTGTCTTAAATGATTCATAAATAATTAAGCTATATTCAACATGCCAACTATTAGTACAACATAAGTACCTCTATTGTTATCTCAAGTAAAAAAAATATAGAAATATCAAAAATCATGAAATATTGTAGAATTCAAAGTCATAATTTCTAAAGGAACATATCAACAGTGATCAAAGAAGACTGCCAATATTGACTTTATATTATTAAATAATAAGATATTAGGTATACATTCTTATTATGTTAAAAGTCAGAGAGAAGTATAGCATAATTCTATTTATTCAGAAGTTGTCTCACAGCTTTAGATGGGATTTTATTTTTAATAACTATCTTAGGCATGGCACACATAATAAGCAACTTTTTAAAAAAAATGACCTGGTTATGTATCAATGTGAATCTAAAGCACCAGTAAAACAGTTTAGCCAACAAATTAACTTCTGGAAAATACAGAAACAGAAGCAGCTGAACTGATTTATGAAATATATTATGTACTATTGATAGATAAAGGCATCAAAAATGATGTTGCCTTGGTGACCAAACATCTCATGCCGAGCTGCAGAGATAATAAAAGCTTCTGAAGCAGAAGCTTTGAACTTTTATTAAATTTTATAGGAAGAGAATGGGACAAAATTTGAATATAGCTGCACTAAAGAAACATGGAAGTAACTTTAAACTCAGTAATAAATCAGAAACAAGAACTATACTACAGCAGTCTCCAACCTTTGCGGCTTGGTGGCCCGCCTGGGAGGGGAGAGGGGAACCGGGCCATGCAAGCAACAGGCCAGTGCACATGCAAATGCAGCTCAATTGTAAGTTGAGCTGCACACTGCATCAGCCAGCCACTTGTGCAAGTCGATCTGCGCGCGCATGTGCGCAACCCGCCGCTTATACAAATTGAACTGTGTGAGTGCGTGCGCACCAGCCCATTCGCATGGTCCGGTTGTGAATAGGCCACAGCCTGGGGGTTGGGGACCTTTGTTATACCAGATACATGAGTCTTGGTTTGCACCAGAGTTATTATCAAGGAAGGTTGACACATTATTATGGCTGATCACTGAGATCAGTAGTCCAATATAGCCAAACACTGGACTTCAACACAAGATAATATTGTACTTTGAAAAATTTTCTTTAGCTACAATTAACATTGTCCAAACATTTAGAGAAAAATTAGAGTGACCTAGTGAATATTTTGCAATATTATATTTTTACTGCATAGATTACCCATAGCACTTGCAACTAAGATCTATTTGCAAGCACACATTTTTAAATATTTCAGTGAACAATTTATAGAGACTCAGACAACAATGCTATATATATTTACCTAAGATAAAGCCCTATTGAACAAAGTGGGGACTACGTCTAAGCAGATATGCACTGCTATAGACTATATTGCAACTCTTCTTGGATTGACAGATTTACTCCATGTACAGGCAATGTTGGCTTATCAATGGTAATTGGTTTTTTTGGCTGGGGCAGCAACAAAAGAGGGGAGTGTGGTATTCATCAACGTACTTGTTTACACAGGACTGTTTGGAAAGAAGGTGAAGTTTCTTAATTGCACGGGAGTATGGAGAAGATTAGAAATCACAGGAGATGCTCCTAATCAACCTTACCTTCTATATCAGTGTTTCTCAACCTTGACAATTTTAAGGCACGTGGACTTCAACTCCCAGAATTCCACAGCCAGCAATGCTGGCTGTGGAATTCTGGGAGTTGAAGTCCACATGCCTTAAAATTGTCAAGGTTGAGAAACACTGTTCTATATGGTCTACCACAAAAGAAAGAAACCCCGATATTTTTCTAAAACCAATGTAGAATTCCAGAAAACTTAAGGAGGTTAAGGAAAAAAAATAGAAGTTTGACGAAGCAAACATGTCAAAGTTGCACAATGAAACACTACTACCAGAAAAGCAGGAAAGTAAAAGGGGCCACCATCAGAGCAATCAAAATTGCTTTGGGGTTTTAGGAACAATTCTCTTTGGACTCTGTTTTCAACTTTGGATTACTCTCTCACTTAAATTCTTTTAAAGAAATGCTGAAACTAATGAAATTAAACTGCTTTTGTTAAGAATAGCAACTACGAAGTAGAAAGAAAGCTTAACATTCAGCTGAAATTAACCAAGCTGGTTTTTGGTTTTAAAAAAACATGTATTTTATATTTGAAATGAACATTGATCAATTCAACATGTTTTGGACCTTTGATATTATATTAATATGATGACTCACCAATACAAAATATATATTGCTACCAATACGCCCAGTTTGCCTTCTGAAAAATGTACATACCTATTTTCAGACCTACTTAAAAAAATTAAAAACACAACAATAAGAAAAGGGTAGATTAAAGCAAAGGTGCAAACAAAATTACAGTTCGTGCATTTTAAGAACACCAACAAAACTGAGTCAAGTATAATTAAAAGACACCATGTTTTATTTTATGTTATTTATATGTTAAGATTTTTATCCTATTTTTTGTTCTGGAACACAAAGTGACAGACACTGTTTTCCTTCCTTCCTTCCATTCGATATACACTAGGATGAAAAAAAATAAGATGGGAGACATTTCTCTTACCTGTACATCATTTTTATTATCGGTACATTTTTCAACCTTTTCTGCTTGAATTTGCTCTTGACTTTCTGATCTTATGAAGTGTTCCACTGCAGTATTGTCTTTTAATTCGGCTTCTGAACATTTCATTGTATCACCTTCCTCCTTTACTCTAATCGTATCAGTCATCCTCATTAGAAAGGGTTATTTTAAAAATCTAAAGGAAATATGGAGCCTGGAAAAAGAGAAGAAAAAGGAAGAATAGGGGTACCATCATTAGTATCTGTATTAGCCCATTTCAATAATACATGAAAAGATCAGGCTCAAAAGGCAGTTTAAAAAGATTTAGCCATGAACTCAGAATTGTTCACTTTATTAACAATCACAAATAATAAAATATTTGCAAGAATCAAAAATGACATTCAAACCTAGGCAATATTAAACTTAACTAATATTTCAAACTGACATTTTGAATTAGACTTAGAAAGTATCATTTCATTAAATGCCTCCTATATATTATGTAGCTGGAAACAGAGAATTACATTCAGACTTATACATCTGCGTATGGAAGGCCAGTATTTCTTCAGATAGGCATATATGCTATTCAAACTAATTTTTACAGCTAGCCTTTGACTTGCAACTGGTTGTTTAACGATCGTTTGAAGTTATAAGGGTCTCAGAATACAGCCCATAAAGCACTTCCGGTCTTTGTAACACATAGTGCTACCCCTGTGTGGTCACGTGATCCACCTCTGGATGACTGACAACCTGTTCATATTCGCAACCGGCTGCTGTGCACCCTGCAATCATGTGATCACCATTTGCAATCATCTCTGTCTGCTTCCCCGGAAAGTCAATAGGGAAGCCAGCAGGGAAAGTTGCAATCTACTGCTGCCTGCCGCGGAGCTGAAATTCCCTCCCAGCAGGCAGCTCTTTGCTGGGAGGGAATCTCAGTTCTGCCTGGAGCTGTGATTCTGTCCCTACTCGCCAGGCAGCTCTTTGAGAACGAAAGGGCTGCCTACCAGGAAGGAATCTAAGTAACTGAACAAAGGCTCTCAGCAAGACTATTCGCCAGAAAGAACGCTGCCCCATCAAAGGACTAAATTTGGGTCACACTACCCCTATATAAGAGAAGCAGCGTGCTTCCCAAATCCATTGGCAACAATTCTTTGTTCACCTCACCATCGTGTTCCTCAACCTCTTAGCTGCCTTTTTGTTTGTTCAAATCTTTTGCTATTAAGACTTCTGTTTGAAAATCTTTTAGAAAAGATAAAATACTTACCTGTGCACCTGTGATTTCCTGGGATGAGATAGGACACTGGGATTGTGTTTGTTGAGCGAAGCAGTCACATGGGTGTCTCCTTTAACAGCCACTTTGCTCAACAACTGAGATTCCAGTCATAATTGTGGTCATAAGAAGAGAATTACTTATATTCAAGTCTTGTTAGAAGGCTTTAAAAGCTTTCCAAATCCTGATTTGAAGGAATATTTGTAGTTGAGTGTACCAACAAGTGTTAATGGTTCCATCTAATGCAGCAGTCCTACACATACACTGTTAATTCTCTAATTCAGTAAGTAGAGTGTGATTTATGGATCTCTGGCCCTTAACTATGGATTTTCCAATTTAAATAAATCGGTGGTAGTTATTTTTTGTTAAAAAAATAGTTTTGAGGGGAAAATAGTGAAGACACAAATGTCTAAAGTACCAACTTTCAAAGCAAAGAGGAATCATCACTGTTCTCACGGACTTCCAAGGCAAAAATTATAAACTTTGGGATGTGGCTGTCCTGCTCAGTTGTAAAATTTGGACCAAGTAGTATCTCTGTTATAGGTACAGTAATACCTTGACAAACAGTACTACAGATTTCACAAAGATAAATCATTATTTATTTCTAAAATATCCAACTATTTGCTGGTTATACATTTACATTTTTAAGCCCTGCAGGCTGCAGTTTTAAACGTAATTATTTGAAAATAAGAGTTCACAAATACACTGAAACCTTTGGGAAGATGGATTCAGATCTGCATTGTAAATAGCCTTCCTCCTTCTGTAATAGAAAGGCCACACAAGCAATTAAAGCTCGGTACTACTTGCCTGGTGTATCCTGTAGATCTGTGATTGTGGTCCCCCACGAAAATAAAATAAAATAATCCAAGGATCTTTTTCACAGTCGTCAACCAAGATGTCAGTTGTAATGATCCATCTGGAATCTGAAAGGTGTCCCATGTCCTTATTACTATTGGAGACCCCTGGGCTGTATTATACTGTTTGGCATCAGCAATACCATTCCTTTTAGACACCTAAAAAAAATGTTTCAAAACCAACAGTTGAATTTTAAAAAAATAAAATAAAAATAAACACAATTTTAATTCTATTTAATTTTTTCCATACCTATTGAAAAATTTCCACTTACAAGTTGTATGATTTTCACAACTTTTCTATAGCAGTCCTTAATATATAACTTGCAATTAATTATAAATATCATTAAGACCAGCAATACATTAATTGGGTTGGAAAGAGTTAGTGAATTAAATTTCAAATATTTTTTTCTTATAGCTGAGACTCTGTGATATATGATCCAATGGCAACGGCATTCTTGAAAACTTTTCTGTAAAGATGTGTGTTATGTGTTTCAGTTTAAATAAGGTACTTTCAGAAAGCGTTTATAAATGCTGCCGTCTTCATTCTTCACTTTCACACATTAAGTGTAAACCAAAAGGCTGAATTAGTAAGACATCAGGGGTTGAAGATGATTTGAGACTTTTTCTTTAAAAACAAAGGTAAAAAAAGCAGCTCTAAGCTAAATGCAAAATATTAGATTTCACTTCACTGTCTGCACGGCTCAAATGGAACTGATCTATTGAATCTGAATATAAACGGTAACCATCATCCTGAAAAAACTAGTTCAAGACTTCCATAAGCATTTCAAGACCATTCTGGAAATTGGCCAAAATTCTAAACTTTTAAAAGTATACATGAAAAAAACAAAACAAAAAAAACCAAATCACAACAGTATAAAAAGAAAAGGAAAATGCTTTAGTGGAAGGACCCTTTTCTTATGATCCATGAAAAGATCACGTACTATCTCTTCCCTTTCAACAGTCATACCTATCAGAAATCATAAAACATAATTTATTTTGGGAGGATTAAGAAGAAAGATGAGAATAATCTCATTATATATCACCTATGTTAAGAAAAACATGTATAGATTTCTTTAACAGAAAAGAATTCAACTATGCATGGTAAATTTTTATAATTAATTAATTGGGCATAAACAGATGACAGAAAGTCTGATAAATTTAACTACTGGGCAGATAATAAAAAGAAAATGATTACAAGTAACAAACACAATTTGCTGATTAAAGATGTACAAGATGACCAGGATGAGCCTGAGGGAGGAGTCAAGCGTGTCATAGGTTTGGAGTCCCTTCACGCTCACAAGAGATCTAAGACCATCCCTCCTTGAATTCCCTGGCCTCTTTTCTACTGCCAATTTGCTTTGACCGTTAGCAGTTCAGATTCTTGTAGAGAGAGTTAGCATGTATATTAATTTAAACCCCCTTGACTCCTGATTTCCTGCGCATGATAGTAAGTTTTAAGTTTATGGATTCTATGAATACTAAGCAGATTTAAAACATACTGAATAAAACATGACAAAAATAAGAAAGAAAAATCTACCTGACAGCATGAGGATCCCAATTATTTATAAATGAAATTATCTAGAGGAAAATAACTCTTTAACGTCTCACAACAGTTCAATTTTATTTCTTCCCTCATTCAAAACATCACATCGATTTCTCCCAATTTGATGTAAATGCAGCTGAAATTCAGAAGCCATCATCTTGAGAAAANCTACGAAATTACTTTACTTTACATATACTCCAACTCTCTTTCTTATACACATACACACATGCATATATACACAACACACACACATATACTGTATACATACATATATGTATGTGTATGTGTGTATGTGTATATAGATATAGATAGATATATGACAATTTATTTTTTTCCAGCATGGGAAGTTTCTCTGCCCATTGGATATGTTGATCTTACTAAGAATTCAAGTGAATTGGATTAAGAATTCATTTGATTCTGTTAGATCAATTTTCATGGGTAATCATGAAGACTACTTCTAAAAGTTAGTTGATGTTGGGAAACTTTAATCTAATTTGGATCAAACGTTACACTTAGGCTGGCTAAAACTAGGATGTTAATTAATCCCACCAAAGCTTTCTATTGTGCTATCAGTCTGTACTTGTGTTTTAAATAATTGACTGTAACAGGCCCATATCATTTTTGTTGTTGTTAGTTGCAAAGTCATGTCCAACCCATCGCGACCCCATGGACAACGTTCCTCCAGGTCTTCCTGTCCTCTACCATCTTCTGGAGTCCATTTAAGCTTAAGCCTACTGCTTCAGTGACTCCATCCAGCCATCTCATTCTCTGTCGTCCCCTTCTTCTATTGCCCTCAATCTTTCCCAGCATTAGGCCCTTCTCCAGTGAGTCCTTCCTTCTCATTAGGTGGCCAAAGTATTTGAGTTTCAACTTCAGGATCTGGCCTTCTAAAGAGCAGTCGGGGTTGATCTCTTCTAGGACTGACCGGTTTGGTCGCCTTGCAGTCCAAGGGACTCGCAGGAGTCTTCTCCAGCACCATAGTTCAAAGGCCTCAATTCTTTGTCGCTCAGCCTTTCTTATGGTCCAACTTTCACATCCATACATTGCAACTGGGAAAACCATGGCCTCGACGATACGCACTTTTGTTGGCAGGGTGATGTCTCTGCTTTTTAGTATGCTATCTAGATTTGCCATAGCTTTCCTCCCCAGGAGCAAGCATCTTTTAATTTCTTGGCTGCAGTCCCCATCTGCGGTGATCTTGGAGCCCAGAAAAATAAAATCTGTCACTACCTCCATTTCTTCCCCATCTATTTGCCAGGAGTTGAGAGGGCCGGATGCCATGATTTTGGTTTTCTTAATGTTGAGTTTTAAGCCAACTTTTGCACTCTCCTTCTTCACCTGCATCAAGAGGCTCTTTAGTTCCTTTTCACTTTCTGCCATTAGAGTGGTATCATCTGCGTATCTTAGGTTGTTGATATTTCTCCCAGCAATCTTAATTCCAACTTTTGATTCATCTAGCCCTGCCTTTCTCATGATGTGCTCTGCATATAAGTTAAATAGGCAGAGCGACAGTATACAGCCTTCCCGGACT